AAATGAAGTCACCTCCTATAGATACCTCTGATATATATGTCCCTATAGTAACGGTTGCTCAAATTGTTTTTCAGGAACATGGAGCTGGTCTTACCCAAATTAAACCCAAATTAAGACCACGGACTGGGTGACTGTTCAATAGGTGAACTTTTGACATCAGAGGGCCAAAAACTTCACCGTCAGATCATGTTAATGACATCATTATCTGAACATACATCCTATGAAGAAGCATGTAACTCAGATACATCTGTGCAGAACTCCAATTACTTTATCTTTTTCTTATCTTCGGTCATCTTTCCCCACACCTCAGACCACCCTGCCTCTTTATCCCACAAATATCTTGAGCCCTTCACCTTCATGAAAGTGGAATTAATCCTTGTTCTCTTGTCTCTGTGCTTGGCTGCCTTGTGTATAAATTCTTTCTCTGCTGCAAACCTTGGCATCTCAGGATTTGGCTTGTTGTGAGTCAGGCAAATGAACCTGGTATGGTAATATAAGGGATGGGCATATCAGCTAGGATTAGAATCAGCTGCATGTAACAGAAACTGAAACAACAGTGGCTTAAATAAGAAGTTTACTAAATTGTTCAAGAAGTCTGGACTAGTATGTCAGCTTCACCAGATCCCCAGTACTCTAGTCATTCCACCTGTCAATTTCTGCTCTGCTATCCTCAGGTACATGGCTCCATCCTCAGTGATGCAAGCCTGAGATGGTTGCCAGCAGTTTTGCAATCCCATCCAGCTTCCAGGCAGGAAGAAGGGACAAAAGGGAAGTTCTCCTAGCTGAGTCAGCTCTTCCCAGAAGTCCCACCCAACTCACTTTTACTTGCCCCACTGACCACACCTAGGCAAGTGGGACAGTGTAACCTTTTAATAGGTCCATTACCACTCTAAAAAATAAGGTTCTGTGACTAAAAGTGAAGAGGAAAATGGGTATCAAGTAGGCAAACGGTAGTTTCTTCCAGAGTGGACAGAAAGAAACCTACAAATGAAGTTAAGAAACAATGGTCAGTGAAATAGGAGAGGAATCAAAAGTAGGGAGCCTGTGGCTGTGTCCTGATTCAATTTCATTACTGGTAATTGGTCTGTTCATATTTTCTATCAATATTTCCTCTTGACTCAGTCTTGGGAATTTGTATGTTTCTAGGAGCTTATCCATTTCTTCTCCATTGTCCATTTTGTTGGTGTATAACTCACAGTAATCTCTTAGGATCCTTTGTATTTCAGTGGTGTCAGTTAAAAGAGGCTTCTCTTTCATTCTTGATGTTATATGGGCCCTCTCTTTTACTTGATGAGTCTGGCTAAAGGTTTATCAAGTTTGTTTATCTTTTCAAAGGACCAACTCTTAGTTTTATTTTTCTTTAAAAATTTTTTTCTTGACTGCACTGGGTCTTGGTTGTTGCACGTGGGTTTTCTCTAGCTGCAGCCAGCTGACCTACTCTTTGTTGCAGTGCTTGGGCTTCTTATTGCAGCGACTTCTCCCACTGTGGCACACAGGCTTAGTTGCCCCCTGGCATGTGGAAACTTCTGGGACCAGGTAATCAAACCCATGTCCCCTGCACTGGGAGGTGGATTCTTATCCACTGTACCACCAGGGAAGTCCTCTTCTTTCTTTTAGTTTCTATTTCATTATTTCTGCTCTGATCTTAGTATTCTTTCCTTCTACTAACTTTGTGTGTGCTTAGTCATGTCTCTTTGCGACCCTTTGGACTGTAGCCTGCGACGTTCTTCTGTCCATGGGATTTTTCAGGCAAGTAATACTGCAGTGGGTTGCCATTTCCTTCTCCAGGGGATCTTCCAGACCCAGGGATCAAATCTTAGTCTCCTGTCTCCTGCATTGCAGGCTGATTTTTTACCCGATAAACCATCAGAGAAGCCCAATTTTGGGTCTTGTTTGTTCTCCTTTTTCTAGTACTTTTTGGTGTATATTTAGGTTATTTGTAAGCATTGGTTCTTTAATTATTTTTTTTCCCTTATTATTATGTGCATACTGAAAAATTTAGTCTCTTAACCTAGTCTGATTTAGAAAGTTAAAAAATCTATCTCATAGATCCCTTCTCAGTCTCTAACCTGTGTGCATGGCACACAGTATTTGACTAGCATGGTGATATTAAAAAAAATTATTAATGTACTTTATTCATTTATTTATGGCTACATTGGGTCTTTTTTGCCACACACGTGCTTTTCTTCAGCCGTGGTGGTGGGGGCTACTCTCAAGCTGCGGGCTTAGTGCAGTGGCTTCTCTCGTTGCAGAGCAGGGCTCTAGGGAGCACAGGCTTCAGCAGTTACGTTGTGTGGGCTCCCTATGTGCAGAGCACAGGCTCAGCAGCTGCGATGCATGGGCTCGCTGCCCCATGGCGTGTGGGATCTTCACGGACCCGGGATCGAACCTGTGTCCTCCGCATTGGCAGGTGTACTCTCTCAACTACTGGATCACCAGGGAAGTCCCTATTTTCTTATATCACACACGCCCCATCCAAGAATTGTATGAGGTGCTGGTCTCCAGAACCGACATTCTCTAGCCATGTAACTACTGAATATTGCTCAAGACAAATTAGCAACCATTGTGAGGCAAGAACCTTACAGATGGACCCTGCTCTTACCTGGGTGAAGTCTCCAGATAACTCTTTCTGGGACAGGGAACAGTGGTCGGCTGGGGCCAGCCTCCTACACATTTCCTGTTCTAACTGCCTCTAATGCATACTTTTCCCATATTGATTTGTCTCCTTTTTTGTTGAGATTACCCTCAAAGGTTCAGGAGCAGTTGGCGAGGGCTGGCATAATCCTTGTATTGAAAACTATGTCTTCGTTAGGTTACTGTAAAAGTTAGACATACTTAAGACAATGAATGTATGAAAATTAGGTGCCCATTTAACCTTCTGACCAAACGTCTCAGACCCCTTCAAAATAGCTCCCAAAGTAAAGAGCTCTCCATTTACTTTGGGGGTTGTACTTCGTTGATTCTTGGTCCTGGTCACTAATAGAGGATGAGACATCACCTAATGAGTGAGTTATTGAAATTATGGACCTGCATCACAGATATAAATCTCTAATTCCCAGTACTTCTCTCTCACTAAATCTCTTCAGTTAAAAAAGTTATCCCAATGTGTCCTATCCCTTCCATGCAACCTGCCCAACTGCTAATTTGACAAATTTCCCTGTGCAGCCAGTTCAAAATTAGCTAACTTTAAGGGTTTACTGAATGCAAGACAACACACCAACGTTCTCTTGTTTATTCCTCACAACAACCCTAAGGATTAATATAATTAATGTCAGTTTGCAGTTGAGGAAATTAAAGGCACAGAAGAGTTAATGTGTGTAACATTCTGTTAGGAAGCATTAGCAGAGAAATCAGAACTCTTGGGCTGTCTTCTTCCACCATTCATCTATAAAATAAGAAATTCTTGTCTTACTGACAAAATGGTATGCCCCAACTTATGCCACAGGCAGGTGACTTTAAAGAAAATTTATTAATTTCCCCTGTCATCCCCAAGCAGGAAAGACTTGTTATCCTTTGGTCGATTTATGACTCCTGTCCAATTCAGGTAGGGATAGCCACAATTTCATTAAACTTATAAACTGAGTAAGAAAAGCCATAATTTCCAGAACCTGGGCAGTATTTTTTCTGTTGGAGTGTGGCTCCCAATGCAAAGTTCCTGCACCTCAATGAAAATCAGCGTTTCTTTCACTTTCTATGGGAGAGGATAAAGTGGCTGGGAATGGGTGTTAGATGGACCATGCAGGGGCATCTATAGTATCTGGAGTTATGTTTTGATGTAATTGAACATTCCAAATCATGGCTGAATTAAGAACAACGTTGTTGAAGACAGGGATGGGGGATGACCAAAACCTTCCTTATATTCAAGAAGTAAATTCCTATCTGAAATAGAAGGCAAGGTCACCTGCTGTGAGAGCAGGGAGCTGGGTGAGATAAGCCTGAGGAACATGAGGACCTTCTAAATTAACAAGGAAGATGCAGAGAGAACTGATATAGGGTTTGATGGTTTAGTTGAATCAGAGATAAGTTTACATGGGTATTGATCCACAGAAGTGTGTGATTTTCTCAACCAGTACTCAGATGCATGTGGAAACTTGGGACAGTGTGGAAGAACAAGCAGACACCATTTGTTGAGGACTGCAGAAGAATGGAGCCAGAGAAAGCTGTCTTTAATAACAAAAGGAAGTGTGGGAGTTCCATAAAGAGGCTGATAGGGATGACTATATGACATTTTGGAAGGCACCATGAGAAAGCAGTGTCAGTACATGTGATACTACCAAGGTAATGTACCTGGGTCTCTGACCTTTGGGAGTAACAACCTGAGCCTATTTACTTCGCTATAATATAGGGACAATTCTTCCAATGAGTTAGTGAGGATGAATACACCTTATCTATAAAGCAATTTGGTGATAGCTGGACAAGAATTTGGGCAATGTCACGCTGACTTGGGTTACTAACAGATCGTTACAACTATATGAGCAGAAAGATTTTAGGATGCCTATTTATTTTGTTCTATGAATATGTGAAATTTGAATGAGGGAGGTAAAAAAAAAGTAAGAGCAGTCAGAGGTTATCAAATTCCTAGAGTTGTCAGGGCCACTTGAGAACAGAAAGCTAGGAACGACAGTTAGGTAATTACTAACCTTGGAAGCAGTAATTTTCCAATATGTGACTTTGAGGGAATTTGATGAAGATATAGTGTTTCAATGCTTACCAGTTAAGAGTTTTCACAGATGCCACTCAGTGAATGCTTATAGCAAGGCTTATGAAGTAGAGATTATTCCTATTCTCCAGATGGCAAAAGAATGCTGTTGTACAAAGCTCTAAATCAGAGGCCAAGAACTTTCCTGTGAAGCACAAGTCAGTATTTTGGGCTTTGTGGGCTATTCGGTCTCTCTTGCAACTACTCAACTCTGATATTGAGTTGAGTAGTTGATATCAGAGTTGAGTAGTTGCAAGAGAGACCGAATAGCACAAAAGCAGCCCTAGATAAGACAAGTGAATATAGTGGCCATGTGCCAATAGTTTTATTTACAAAAAGCTTCGGGACTGCTTACTAACCCCCACTTCGAACACAATTTTTCCATTCCCAAAACCCAGCATTCTTCATTACAACACAAATAAAATTAATTAGTCCAATGGTTGTTCTGCAGAGGATGCTGTTCAAGCTATACACACATATTTAATGGCATCAATGTGGAACACAGGCACAATTCTAATGAATAAAGAAAAAGCAAACTGGAAGCAGCTTATTAATATTTCTGGTAAAATGGAGTTAGACTAAGACCAAACTATGGTCAGAGTAGCTTGGTTATGGTTTCAGCTGTCACTCATGTAGTTTTTTTTCCCCAGTGTAGACAATATTTACTGGCAGATGTTGAGTAACAGAAAAATGGTAACAAACCCAGAGGGGCTGGAAAAGGAGGCAGGGTATTCTCCCCTCCCATAATTAGGACTGTAATCAGGTCAGTGGAGCAAGAGCATGTGATTTTGGCTACTCTGGGCCCAGCAACCCTCAAAGCTCCCAGGCAGGATGATTTCAGTATGTGGAAAGAAAGCAACAATCTGGAAATGGCATGGGCTGGGTCCCAGTCCAGATACTTGCCCCTGCCCACAGCACACCTTAAAAACCTTCACAGCTCGGTGTAGGGGTGTTAAAGAACTGGGCCAAGCCTACCCCTCTCCAAACACAGGTATCTGCCATATGCCTGTTACCTTCCTCTCAGTGATTTGCAAGGTTGGACTACTAGGTCCTGCTAGGGGCCCAGCTCAACCAAGTGAGTAGTTTCCATAGTTCCCTGAGCCTAGTTAAGGTTAATCTCACCTCTCATCTGTTCAGTTGGAATCAAAGAATCTCTGAGATCTCTTCCAGTTCCAATACTGAGACCTCTAATATGACTAAAATAGCCAACTTAACCAAAGCATGAGAAGTCAATCTCTTGCTATTTTTAAAAACTGTCAATGATGTATCACTTACCACACAGTGGCCTTATCATTATGTATGTGTGGAAAGATATGCTACATAACAAGACTACTAGTTAAGTTCCTAAAAACCTGGACATAAGAAAGCCTGGGGTTATGACCAGAGTTTCCAAATAACTCAATCTCCAAATAAGATAACCTGGAATCCAAGTGGTATTAAACAAGTGGAAATCTGATTTTTTGTATTATGCTTCAGAGTATGTGAACACCGTGACAATGGTCTGGGGCCAAAGAAGCAGATCAGTGTGTACTTCTGCACTGCAAAGTGTTAGTTGCTCAGTCGGGTCTGACTCTTTGAGACCCCATGGACTGTCAGGCTCCTCGGTTCATGGAATTCTTCAGGCAAAATACGGCAATGCACTACCTGGAGAAGGCAATTCCTTCTCCAGGGGATCTTCCCACCCAGGGATTGAATCCGGGTCTCCTGTGTTGCAGGCAGATGCTTTACCATCTGAGCCACCAGGGAAGCCCTGAATTAACTGTAGGAACTTATAATTACTAGAGGCACATATTGAGTATAACTGGCCTAGAACTCAACAATTCTCTGCCAACACAGGCCTTAGCTGACTTAGGAAGCGCAGAAATCAGTCAATTTCCTGGTCTCCATGTGTTCCCACACTGGTGCAGAACTCTCTTAGAAGCTAACTGCTTCACTGACCTGGATACCACCTGATTTATGACAGGCATCTGCTTCCCCAAATTGTTTCTGCCCATGTTTTCAGACTAACTTTTTTGCTTTTTCACATTTCTCCAATGACTGAAAATAAGATTCACAAGTTACACAGTGCTCTATCAGGCCTTACAGACATAATAAACATCCCCATCACTTTTGACAAGGCCTTCTCCCAGTTCCCTTACTGTCATACAGAAATGGCTCTCACCACTGGTACAGACTTACTCCCCCACTGAGAATTTCTCTCAGTATTCTTTATGGCTTAGTTCAAGTTCACCATTCCACAAAATTTCTAGGGACTACACTAACCATGTATGGCACAAACTGTATTAATAATTTAGCACATAAACTATAACCATACACTGTACATACCATAACACTATGACCAGAAAGTCTTCTTTCTACAACTGGCACAAATGCAGTGCTCATTCTAGCCAGAGAAACTGAGTGGATGACTGAGGTGTTGTTCTAGGCCAGGCTGTCCTAGAAGACCAAGTAAACACAATCTACTACTATGACTAGTAATAATGCTGCCTGTTTGGGCTACTGTATTTTTCAACCATTTTGGTATGCCATTAAATCAAGTTAGAAAAATCATGATCTGTGACTTCGTTTTTTAATTCTTAAGCCTTATGATCAGACAGTTTACAAATCTGAGCTAATGATACAGTCCCTCTAATCCTTCTAATGAGTTGGCAAAAGCACGATCACCAAACACCATATACAAGTAGTTCTACAGTTGTGTTTCTGAATTCCTGTTTAAAAGACAACCCTGAATTATAACTTAGTCTGACTTTGTGAAGAATTAACAAGCAAAGTTCGTTAACATATCTTGTCACAGTGAATTTAAAAGCGTCTGATCTTAAAGATCATCTACAAAATGTGAGGTGCTAAATACTCTTTATTTGATGCTATACATAAACCACACTAAAATGCCTTTCATTAAGTAAAAGGCTAAATTTTAGATAGAGAATTTTAATTAAATTGGCATAGTTTATAAAACCAAAAAGATAAAGTGGAATTTGTCATTGTATTTTCAATTCTTGCCTTAACAGGCTAATGAACACAACTTCAAACATATGTGAATCCTCCTCTGTTCTATGAGACAGTGAAGGGACCTTTTTCAGTATTTAAATATATTAATATAACCAGTTATAGAAATCTAAATATAAAACCAATCTCTTATAGGGTTTGAGAAGGAATGCACCATCTCCCTAAAAAGTTTAATATTCCTTATTCAAGTTCAATCATCTCTTTAGAATGGGAAAAGTGATAGTACTTGTTGAACCGGAATTACTATCAAAATTAAAAAAGCTGACCATATTCGTTTAGCCACAAACCAATCTTATTTAAATCAGGACTGTCCAACAGAATTATTCCATCAGCCATTCATGATCTGAATTCTAGTGTATGAGATCAATTTAAATATGGTACACATAAAAAGTCATGAGACACTTCTGTTTCATAATAAATAAGGCAGTGGCCAACTATTACTCATTGGTAGCTTTTTTGAGATAAGCTATCAAGTCCTCCCTCTCTCCCTTCTTCTTAATGCCAGCAAAGATCATCTTTGTTCCAGGGATGTACTTCTTGGGATTCTCCAAGTACTCCATCAGCGTCTCCTCTCCCCAGGTGATACCTAAACAAGGAAGGATATATTGTTGAGCATGTCACACTCCTGAAACAGTGTCTACCATAGGTTACATTCATCCAGTTTGTGCTTGGGTTAGTTAACAATGCCCCCCTCTTACCTTTGTTCTTGTTGGCATCTGTGTAAGAGAATCCAGCAGCCTGACCCGTCTTTCGTCCAAACAGACCATGGAGGTTTGGCCCAGTCTTGTGCTTGCCTCCCTTTTCCACAGTATGGCACTGGGCACACTTCTGAACAAAAATCTTCTTGCCCTTCTCAACATCACCCATTTTTAAATCTAAAAACGGAAAGATTCAGATTAGTAATATTTTCTCCAAGTAAAAGTACAGTCGATTCCTATCATCAACCCCAGTCACTGACACCAACTTAAATAACAGGTTGAATTTTGTCTTATTTAGTTCACTTGCAACAGCTTCTTTAATAACAAAAACACTATCTGGAAGAACTTCCTTGAAAAAGGAAGATATTCACACCTCTGTGAATATCTCTGCATGCTCAGTCACTAAGTTGTGTCTGACTCTTCATGACCCCATGGACTGTAGCCCGCCAGGCTCCTCTGGCCATGGGATATTCCAGGCAAGAATACTAGAGTGGGCTGTCATTTCCTCCTTCAGGGGACCTTTCTGACCCAGGGATTGAACCCACGTCTCTGGTGTCTCCTGCACTGGCAGACGAATTCTTTACCACTGAACCACCTGGGAAGCCCCTCTGTGTGTATAAGTGCCAACTAAAACTTGGCATTTGCCATCAGCCTATATAAGGATTAAGGCACAAGCGGCTACAGTCACTGACCTTCAACACATTCTGAAAGGATTTCAGGGTGGAGCAGGAATGAGGCACTCTGGGCTCTGAGTAAACTGGCAAAACTGGCCTTCAGATAGATCTTTTCAGGTGAAGATTTTATGAGCCCAATTCTTCCATCTCCTTATTATCTAGAAAACCACTAAAATCCTTAACGGTGGTACCTGTTCCTGCTGATTAGCAGCAAACCTCTGGTAAGTGTGTTTGACTGCAAAGTACCCCCATTCATGAAAATCATATACAATACTGACATTCTCCCCCTACCTCCTCAGAGCAGTTTCTCGTCTTCTAAGACATACTCATCGTTTTACCCCAAAGAAAACTTAACTTACAACTCTCAAGTTGTGCATTTTTTTTTCCAGTTGACATAAGTGATGAAAGGTTAGAGGTCAGGAAAGCAAAGCGGGAACCTAGTTCAAAGCCATTTCAAAAGATGAGACCAAGGTCACGAAAAGTCACAAATCCAATTAAGCTGAACTGAGATCATATTAAATCCAAGCCATCAAATTCCAACTTTTAAGGCCTCATCATTTATTCATAGAATTTAAAGCCACTGCTCTCTTTAGAGAAGACAAAATACATTTTTACAAAAAAGGGAAATCTTTCTTGATTCAGTCCGCTCAGGTTACTCGAAATTGCTCTGCTGTGAGTAGGAGGTCAGCAGCCGGCTTTACGGTCACCCAGGGACCCCCAATCTAGCTCTCGGATCCCCGGAAGTGACCACGAGGTCATCCATCCAGGCTTGTTTCAAGGAGACTATGATGAAACCTACCCCCTCGGACGTTCCTCAGCAGGTTAAGGAGGGAAGCGACAGGTGGCCAAGAAATGCCTTATTGGAGGAGCAGTCGTTTCTGCTCCTTTGGAAGGAGGACGTGAAGCGCTGCGCTCCGTCCCCGCACTCCTGCCCTCACCTCGGAGTTAGTCTTGTCTACCATTGCCCCAGCTCAGCAGTTCCCATAACGGAGAACCGGCGTCTCGGTAAGAATCGCGACCAAGCCGCCTCCAAGCTTTCAGAACCTTGACCTACCCTACTACCTAGTTGGGGTCTCAAGCCGTAGCCCACCCGGCTCTGGCCGGGCGCAGTCTAGCTGGGCGCCACTCCCTGCCAGCTCCCTCGCCCCCGCGCGCGGGACTCAGTCCACCCGCGCGGCCCCTATGCTGGCGCACGCATTCGTGGCTCAGCTTCCCGCCTGCTGCGGTCTCCGCGCCCCGCGCTCACCGTTCTTTCTCTGTGCGCGACCGAGAAGTTCCCGCTCACAAGCCGAACGCCCCGCTTTCTAAGCCCAAGGACACGCCGGTACGTGCCTAAGTACCGGTGTTGGTGCAACCAAACTGGCTCCGCCCTCCGGTCCCCTGACGTCTGTCCCGGCGACCGGATACGCAGTGACGAAGCCGCGCCTCATTGGCTCGGGTCTCCAGGCCTGAGGCCGGACTGGGCGCGCGCATGCCGACTAGCACGCTTGGGGGTACCGCGTTGAGTGCCCTTCCTCACCGGGCCTTTCCTTCCTGGCAATTACGACAGGCCATTAGCGGTACGACACCGAGGTTGTGCCGGAAGGGGCTGACAGCAGTCCTGGCCTTCGTGTGCTTGCGTGTGCCGTTGGGGAGGGTGGAGCGGAGTCGAGCGGTGGATCGATAGCGTTATCTTCTTGTAAGGTAACCAGTCTCGTGCTGGTTGACGTAATGCTCTTTGAGCAGCATGTTTTGGTCTGCTCGGAGGGAAACGATCGACTTGGACACACCAGAGGTCTCTTGGCTGTCATCCCTTCAGCTGGAGACCTTTACCCAGACTCGGTCGTATTTCCGCCGCTGGCGCCAGCTGCACCCAACAGAAATAGCCCGCAACCAGGAAGAGTTGGACACGAGCTCCTGACCTTGTTCTTTGATACGCAGTGACGAAGCCGCGCCTCATTGGCTCGGGTCTCCAGGCCTGAGGCCGGACTGGGCGCGCGCATGCCGACTAGCACGCTTGGGGGTACCGCGTTGAGTGCCCTTCCTCTCCGGGCCTTTCCTTCCTGGCAATTACGACAGGCCATTAGCGGTACGACACCGAGGTTGTGCCGGAAGGGGCTGACAGCAGTCCTGGCCTTCGTGTGCTTGCGTGTGCCGTCGGGGAGGGTGGAGCGGAGTCGAGCGGTGGATCGATAGCGTTATCTTCTTGTAAGGTAACCAGTCTCGTGCTGGTTGACGTAATGCTCTTTGAGCAGCATGTTTTGTCTGCTCGGAGGGAAACGATCGACTTGGACACACCAGAGGTCTCTTGGCTGTCATCCCTTCAACTGGAGACCTTTACCCAGACTCGGTCGTATTTCCGCCGCTGGCGCCAGCTGCACCCAACAGAAATAGCCCGCAACCAGGAAGAGTTGGACACGAGCTCCTGACCTTGTTCTTATTTCGCCTATTCGCTGTAATTTTAAGTTATCTTCTTCCAAATCGTCCCTTGATGGAGCCCTGAAGACTAGGGCAGCTGCTGCAGTTGAGGCAGAGACTGGATTATAGTTCGGGCCCCTCACCTGCTGGCTTCTTTTTTACCACTTGCTTTTCTACACGTGCTTCTCGCGTTTGTGTGCACGTTTGTGTGGTCGCGTTTGTGTGCGACCAGCATCCAGAAAGAAACATTTTTACATGGCTAGGGAATCTTCGGAACTCTACAGAGGATTTGCATTCCATCTAACCTAGGTGAAGTTCATGTTCAAGCAAGCTGATGTGGTTGGAGTCGTTAGAAATGCAAGGGACTTCTGGCGGTCCAGAAGTTAAGACTCGGCGCTTCCAACGCCGGGAATGCGGTTGGATCCCTGTTGGGAGGACTAAAATCCTACATGCCTGCACGGCATGGCCAAAACCAAACAAACAAAAAAACAGGTTTGATCACTGCAGCTTCCAGTAATCATACTTTTCCTCCACCACACGCTCTCATTCAAGACATGCCCAGTTTTGTCACTGGGAAATTTTCTGTACTCCTGTCCTTCAAATTCAGCCCCCGAGTTTGAATTTTTCCTCCTTTCCCATATCCTGTCAGACGGTGCTGTATTCATTCAGTCAAGTGTTTATTGAATACATGCTGTTTGCCAGGCACCGTCTAGGACGGTGGAGTAAATCATTGAGGACTTTTTCTCTGGCGGAGCTAATGTTCTAGCATCCTTCCTCCTCCCTCCAGTTAAGCAATAGATTGTTGTTTAGTTGCTCAGGTGTGTGGGACTCTTTTGGGGCCACATGGACTGTTGCCTGCCAGACATCTCTGTCCATGGGATTTCTCAGACAAGATTACTGGAGTGGGTTGCCATTTCCTCCTCCAGGGGATCTTCCCCACCCATCCATTGAACCCCTCCTTCTTGGCAGGCAGATTCTGTACCACTGAGCTATCTGGGAAGCCCCAAGCAATAGTTAGTAGTAGGTTAACCTAGATTACCTCAGAACCCTCTTAAACCACTGGTCCTATGATTTCTCCTCCAGATCATCTGTCTCCTTATACGAATAGATTATTGTTTTCTGTGTTCTGATTTCCCATTTTCCTGTGGCTTTTGGGGTGGACCAAGATTGTGTTTTAACTGTAATACTGAAGTTGGCTCATTTGACTAGCTACCCAAGTTTTTGAAAAACCGGGCTCAGTTAACACCTTGTAATTCAGTCCCTATGTTTGAAGCCAAGTCCTAAATTGCCACCCATATCTCTTCAAGGAATACTTGGGCCTTAAATAGGTATTTGTTCTAATTAAAATCTTCTGTGTTTGTGGTATCAGAAGTTACTAGTCTTTGTTCAGTTGACTGAACAAAGTAGCAACATTGTGCTGGTACTGCAGGCCATGCAGAATTAGCAATACATCAAGTGGCCTAGTGAATTGATTGACATTTCAAATTTATTTCTATGAGGGGGGAATAGAAAATCAGAAGTCTTTAACACCTTTACCTAAGGAAATTGGGGATAAAGACTGTTGTAATTGAAAGTAGTAGGAAAATGAGAACGCGAACAAGAGCAAAAATGAACACTTGGCACATTCCTGTAGTAGATACTATAACATTTGTGCTTAATATCCATGTATTCAGGTTCTAAAGAGTTTCACGGTGCTTACCATGTATTCAAGATACCAGAGAGAATTAGTTGAGAACATTACTATTCTACAAGTTGCCCAGTTCCATATTTGTATATCTGTTCTATCTCCATCTTTTCCTATTGTAGTGGCTGGTAAGGGGTGTAACTATTACAAAACAAGTGCCTTAGGTTTCTCCTTCCAGCAGTACAATGGGTGATATATATATTTTTTAATGTTCATGATAAGAAGAAAATATAGTAAAATACCACCCCCTCAAACCAAAACATCTAATGAGGTTGCAAGAAAATGAGGGAAAAGAAGTCTAGTTGGAGGCAGGGGTGAGGCAGGCAGCAAGAACTGAAAACTGTGATAAGCATAAGTTGACTCTAGAGACACCTTGTGGAAGATTGCTGAAGTGAAAGAGCCTTAGGCTTTAAGAGCATCTCTGGTGGCTCAGCATCTGGTGGCTCCTTCAGTGGAGAAGTTGTGGGTTTGATCTCACAATGGGTTGGGGAGATCCTCTGGAGAAGGAAATGGCAACCCACTCCAGTATTCTTGCCTGGGAAATCCCATGGACAGAAGACCCTGGAAGGCTACAGTCCAGGTTGTAAAAGATTTGGACACGGCGTAGCCACTAGAATGGAAGTAAAGGTCATACAAAAGAAGAGTGGTGGAGCAGGGAGGGGTCTCGGTTGGCTGAGACCCCTGCATAATGCTGAAACACTTCAATCTAAAGGATAAAACAGTCTGCTCATTGGCAAAGGGAAGAACCAAATTAGTCTTGTCTGGCTTGGTCTTGGGTACTGGATGGGAGGAAAAAGTATCCTCTGATAATTCATAACCACAGGTCTGCCCACATGGAGGTTTAAGGTTTGATTTATTTTACCTGCACGGCCTAAGGAACCTCTAGCAGAAAAATGAACAAAGTAATTGTAGATAGGTGATGTGTTCTGGTGTCTGGCAAAAACACTCAAATCTCTAGAGAAGTCTCTCAATCAACCCAGGTTCCATGTTTAAGAAATGCTGTGATGAGATAATAATGAAAACCAACAAAGAGCAAAATTACAGTCACAAAGGGCCAGTTGGAATTATTAGATACTGTTGGAGAAGTAAAAACCTTACTGAAAAAGAGAGACCTCGTATCACTATGGAAAGAAAGCAAATGCATTTATTACTGAATAAGCACAATATAAAATAGCTGTATGTAGGTAGTCTAGAAGAAAACTACCAAACCAAAATAAGAACTCACACAATTTATACTAAACTAATTATAATCCTTTTATCTCATGCTGTTTTTAGCTAGCATATAAGATGATGCTTTAGGATCAGTAGTGCCCTATTTTCCATTTGGCAGCAGTATTGTCACTTATCATTTGGATTAATGGGAACCTGTTTTCCATAGGAGGACTTGACATCACAGTTTGTGGCCAGATCCTTCTTAGTTAAGTTTTTATTTTTTCACATTATTTCACCCTAAGTTCATTTGGGAATTGTGGTAGCCATTTGTTTAATGAGTTGTCCTTGTCCAAAAGAAAAATAAAACTTTTCCTGAGAAATGGTTACACCTTCATTAAGCTCCCAAGGTGAAACTCTGTCTACCTAGGTGTTTACATTTTTTGAGAGACCTATTTACATTCCAAATGCTTAGTGTGAAGATTTAGGCGGTTTAGATTTTCCTCCTTCCTCTTAGAAGGTGGGAGAAAGTTCTCTTTTTCCTTTATGTGTTAGTCACTTCAGTCATGTCCGATTCTTGGGACCCTGGGCTGTAGCCTGCCAGGCACAGGCCATGGAATTCTCCAAGCAAGAATACAGAAGTGGGTTGCCATTTCCTTCTCCACTTTTTCCTTTATAAATAGAGAAAATAAATTTTATTTATTTTTACAATATATAATGTGAAATGATATTTGAAAACAATTAGATAAAGAAGGAAACAAAAACATGTGCAACAAACAAGGAACTATCAGAAATAATGTGGCAGATTTTAAAAAGAGACAAAAATAATTTCTGTAAATGAAAGTTAAAGTCACTGAAATAAACTTCATATATAGGGTGAGCTTTATACAAAATTCAAGGACAAGAAAGACAAAGCCATAACTATAACTAAAGGAAAGGATAATGCCTACTGTGATTCTGAGAGGGCAGGCTGGGAAATGGAAAGAGGAGGAAGATAGCATGTGAGTTGTTGATATTTTAGTGACTGGGTTATAGATTAATTTTTAAAAATATATAAAATATGTATATGGGCTTCCCTGGTGCCTCAGTGGTAAAGAATCCACCTGGCAATGCAGGAGATGCAGGAGACTTGGGTTCGATCCTTGGGTCTGGAAGATCCCCTGGAGGAGGGCATGGCAACCCATTCCAGTATTTGTGCCTGAAAAATCCGATGAACAGCCTGGCAGGCTCCAGTCCATGGGATTGCAAAGAGTCAGACACGACTGAAGTGACTAAGCGCACGCACGCGCGCGCGCACACGCACACACACACACACACACACACACACACACACACACACACAGAGTAAATATGGCCAATCATCCTACATTAAAAACTCAAAAGATGGGCCACAAAGCACATTTTAAAAACAGGTTTAAAAAAAGGTACAAATGAAAGAATTAATGAAATGGAAGGTAGATACAAAGAAATTACTAAATGTAATTTAGAGAACAAATGGTAGAATATATAAAAGAGAAATTAGAGAAGTTAAGACATAAGAAAGATGGTATAAGGAGGTCTATTTAGAGTTTCAGAAGACTAAAATGGAGAAAACTAGGAAGAGGCCTGTGTTTGAAAATATAAATCTGAGGATTTTCCAAGACTGATGTAAGACATGAGTCTCAAATTCAGGAAGCACATGAATGCAAACAGGATAAACAAAATCAGCAGTAAGACCTGGTGACAGATCATCAGAACTCTCTAGACAAAAATAAGTATTTAAAATACATGTAAAAGAGAGATTATCTACTTAAGAAAATTACAAATAGATATACATCATGTCTTTCAATAACAACAATGAAAACCAGAAGTCAGAGTAACTGAAGAGCAAACTCTACAGAGTCACTGTGTGGTTGTCCTCATTTTGCCTCTCTAGATCCAATCCCACCCCCTACCCCAACTTCTGTGCCTTGCTGTTCAGTCACTAAGTCATGTCTGACTCTTCGTGACCCCATGGACTGTATAGCCCACCAGGCTCCTCAGTCCATGAGATTTACCAGGTAAGAATACTGGAGTGGGGTGCCCTTTTCTTCTCCAGGGGATCTTCCCAGATTAGGGATCAAACCTGCATTGGCAAATAGATTCTTTATCACCGAGCCACCAGGGAAGCCCATCCCCCTCACCTTAGGCATACCCCAATATGTTTACATGTCAGAAGATACGGAGAATCTTGTGCTTAAGTCATGTGATTGACTTTCTTGCCCTCAATTTTCCCCAACGTTATTTTACCATGTGACTTTTTGCTTCCAACAGTACCTAATGTAATGAATGTAACTATGCTACAGAATAAAATTTGGAAAAAATTCCATAATTTTAGCCCAGAATAGTTTTAAAGAGGGTGTAACCAAATGACATATTGGTCATGAAACAAAAACAAATATTAAATCTCAAAAAAACAGTCAGAAACCCTCATGAGCTTTCTGTCTAATCCCTCATGAGTAAACTGTCTAAAATGCACCTCTTGGCATATTATCAATAAATGAGTTGATTCCATTTAGCAGTCATATAAACTCTTGGTGGACACCTTCTAAAAATCATGATATTTGGCTTTAGAATAATAGATATCAAGCCATCTGCTATGGTCTGAATGTTTCTGTCCCCCTCCCTGAAAATTTATATATTGAAATCCTAACCCCCAAGATTATTAGGAGGTGGGAGTCTTTGGGAAGTGATTAGTTTCTGCCTGCAATACAGGAGACCCCAGTTCAATTCCTGGATTGGAAAGATCCAATTGAGAAGGAATAGGCTACCCTCTCCAGTATTCTTGGTCTTCCCTGGTGGCCCAGCTGGTAAAGAATCTGCCTGCAATGCAGGAGACCTGGGTTCGATCCCTGGGTTGGGAAGATCCCCTGGAGAAGGGAAAGGCTACCCATTCCAGTTCTGGCCTAGAGAATTCCACGGACTGTATAATCCATGGGGTTGCAAAGAGTTGGACATGACTCAACGACTTTCACTTTAGTTCATGAAGGAAGAACCTTCATGAATGGGATTAGTGCCCTTAAAAGAAGCCCAGAGAGATCCCTTGCTTTTATCAAGTGAGGTTGTGGTGAGAAAATGGTGGTCAGTGAGGAAGCAGAGCCTCACCAGACCCCAAACCAGCCAGTGCCATGACCTGGACTTCCCCACCTCCAGAACTGTGAGAATAATGTTTGTTGCTTACATAAGCCACCTAGTTTGTGGTATTTTGTCATAGCAGCCCAAACAGACTAAGACACCATCCTTTCTTGCCACAGAGTTCATCAGTTACTAATTAAAACCATTTCTGGATCTTTGCAATAAAATCATTTTTTCTTCATAAAAGAAATGGATATGTTTCTCTATCAGAAGGTGAAAGGAAAAGAAACATCCAATTTAGAACGTGTATGCATGCAGAGCATTTTGAGTTTTTTCTTTTCTACTAACTTATTTTGTCCATGTGTTTACATAAAGGAACAGGGCCCACATATTTATTAAGGTAATTTAGTTTGTAGAGTTGTCAGTCCCTCAGTTAACTGAGCTTTTGAATTTTGTCCTTGTACCTAGTGTTATTGTATACAAATATTTACCTATAGGGACAGTGTCCATATATTTATTTTATTAAGGTACTACTATAGTTCGTATAGACATTTGTCAATTATCAGGAATTTGAGTTTTTTCAAAATTTTTTTGTAAAATTTTGTCACCCATTGTTTATTATGATTTGGAAAAATTCCTTGGCATATTATTTGAAAATGAGATTAAAGACTATAAATTTTTCTGGTTCTATTTTATTGCCAAATTGTTAAACTTTTGAAGAAGACAGAACATCACCTTTTCTGGGTTCTTCTGACCAGACCCTAACTTAAATACCTGAAAACATAAAGTTCATTAACAAGCTCATTATGGCTTCTCCAGAAAACAGAATCCAGCAATGAGGAAGAAATTCTGTTATATTTTTTCTTTTCTTGCAAGAAGCTGGGTTTTGAAGGGAAGGATGAGTAGCTCAATTATAGAAATAATGGGAATTATGGCCATAGAATTGGTGTCTCTTCCCCGAGTGCTCTTTATCCCTCAGGTCTTTATAGTCTTCTAGAACCGATGTATGGAAACGTTTTTGTGCACCAGTTTTTGAAAAAGTGTTCTTAAGCTCCAGCAGGTCCGTTTGAGGTTTGGCCACTCCAGCTCTAGGAATCCAACCCAGGATAGGTTTTGTTTCTTCATCATCCTCCATATTCAAGGTCAACTGTTCTGGCTTACTTAAAAAGTGTTCAAAATCAAAAGTTTTCAAGTCTGGTTTACTTTGTAAAATATCAGGCTTACTAAGGCTAACAGGGTTTTGGTACACATTATACTGATTTAAATGTTCATAGGGAATGTAATGATCTGGGTTACAGTAAGGTATAAGTTGGGGTTTTAATGACAGCTGTCTCCAGTACAAATCTTCAGTCTCTTTAGTATCTGTGATTTTTGGAAATGGTTTTATGTCGTAAGTATTAGCCAGATCTTTTGTTGGGTAACAGGATGAGAGTGCATAGGTAGATAGCAAGCTTTGTTCTTCCTTAATCTTTTCTTCAATCTCGTGGTTTTTATGTGTCACACCTGCAGGTATGTTATCACTCAGAGCCATCATTTCTGTAGAACTGGGCACAAAGGTATGAAAAGTACACCGAACTCGAGGGGTACAGTCTGGACAGGAAGGTGGTCTTTGCTCAAGAGTAGCTTCCAGAGGACGTCGGTTCTGAATCAGTCGGGCAATTCGTCCTTCCAGGGGTCTGGTGGGCCTTAAGGCAGGATGGAATTTTTCTTGCTGTGGTGGTAGGATAAAAAAGAGAAAATCAACTAGTTAATAGATCTAGCATTGTCAGGATATTGCACAAATGGCAGGTCAAAATTCATACCCATTTTCACTGTCTGAGCAAACACAGGACAGGTTGGAGTCAACACTGCAATGTTTACTGATATTTATTTAAAGACACTGAAATTTGGGTCCTAATAAACACATGTTTTTATAAGTAAAGGGCGCATTTTTACTTGGCTATAGAGAAATTTTTCCATGTAGGAACTCTTTGTTTTCAGACTTTTCAAGATATAAAAGAACTTATTGGAATAAAACAGGTCATATTTTATGATGATGTCTGTCACCAACAGATTATGTTAAAAGTTACATGCAATTATTTAAATCTCAGCCAAAGCCTTCTTTATTAGACTCAGGCAAGGGTTTTTAAACCTCGGTTGGTTGTATCAGAATCAGCTTTGGAGTTAGCAGAAAATAAGATTCCCAAGCTTGGTCCTCTGAGATTGTGATGCAGAGGGTCTGCAGTAGGACTTAGGAATCTGCTTTCTTAATAAGCATCTCGAGTGATGCTAAGGCCAGTGATATGCTATGCTTGGAGAAACACTGGTCTGACAGGGGTTTGTCATAGCTGTGCTTCTCTTTTGAGATATTTGACAGATATTGTGAACTCAATCATGTCTGGTAACTGCAAAAGCAATGAGTGTGTTTAAGGGGTTATTAACAGATATATGACTGGGGAGAGGGGTAAGAGGAAGAGGGAGGAGTTGACTTGTAAGGGGCATGAGGGGACTTTCTGGGAGGATGGTAATGTTGAATATATTGATAGAGGTTTGGGTTACAAAGGTGTATGCATTAGTCAAAACTTATTGAATGTACACTTAATGTTTGTGTAATTGTAATGAATGTATATGAAGTGAAGTGAAAGTCATTGGTTTGTGTCTGACTCTATGTGACCCCATGGACTATACAGTCCATGGAATTCTCCAGGCCAGAATACTGGAGTGGGTAGCCTATCCCTTCTCCATTGGATCTTTCCAACCCAGGAGTTGAACTGGGGTGTCCTGCATTGCAGGAGGATTCTTTACCAACTGAACTGTCACCTTAAAAGAAAAAACTAATTTAAGTCCAATTAGTGGTATGCATTTTTGAGGTTCCCTGTTGGCTCAGCGGTAAAGAATCTGCCTGCAATGCGGGGGGGGCTTGGGTTTGATCCCTGGGTCAAGAAGATCCCCTGGAGAAGGGCATGGTGACCCACTCCAGTGCTCTTGCCTGGAAAAGTCCCATGGACAGAGGAGTCTGGCAGGCTACAGTCCGTGGGGACCCCAAAAGTCGACTGAGCACACATGCACACATACACACTAACATGCTGAATGTTTAGGATGAAGTGTAAATCTGTGATTTACACTGAAATGCAGAAAAAATAAAGTAAATTTATCGATGTTTGGAGTGATGGCAAGATAGATGTGTGATAAAATAAGTATAGTAAAATGCTACAGTACAATCTAGACCATGGGTATACAGGTCTTAACTGTAAAATTATTTAGACTTTTCTGTATGTTAACACTGAACATTTGAACATCTTTATAATCTGTTTAAGAAATAAAACTAAAAACAAATGAATGTGTGACAATGATGGAATTATAGCAAAGATAAAAATAAGAATGGTGAAAATATAACTCTAGTTTGGAATTAGAAAAAAAAAGGACTTGGGAACAGCTTTTTGAAACCTAATCTATTCATAGTTGGAAGAGTTTCCATACTGTTATCAACAAATTTGTTATTTCCTTTAGCTAGTCAGGTTTGAGTAGATACTATGAAAACAAGAAAAAAATTTCTTTGAAATACACTGTTAAATTTATCACAAACAAAAAAGTATATATCTTATTTGATGGTATCCTTATATGCAAGAAGCAGACTTTAGTACCTTTATTCTACAAAAAAATATTTCATATACATATTTATCACCAGTAAAACATGCCTTCTCAGACTCCATTATTTATGTTTCAGTTAGAAACCAGCAAGATTCACTGAAAGTTTCTTTTAAACTTCCAACTATTTTAGGCATATTTTATCTTGTTATTAATAAGAAATTTAGGTGTTGATTTACTTGTATGATAATTGGGCATATAATATACTTGACAAACATCTTTGGTATAACTGTACATGTATTTCCTTGTAAAAATTTTAAAGCTGCTTCTTGAGGGGCTGAACTCTACAGGCTTAAATCTGTGGAAATCTGGACGGCTATTGAACACACCTGATGATGTCAGAGTATATGTATAGTCTTCTCTAGCCTTAGAGAATGTTTGTTACAGGTGAAAAATAGAGAAAATTAAAAACCTTTTAGTGAATGATAAGGCTTAGTCTGTGGAACTACTTCTAATGTTATGATTTATTATATCACTCTGAGAAATATTGAAGGTATATAAAGTAAATGTGTTCATTCAGTCTAAAAAGAGTTCATGTTGACATACCTTATCATTGTTTTTTAGGTGTCTTTCCACAACGTACATCTTTGGAAATATTAATCTTGTTGAAAAAACTGAGTTTTAGAGGATAAAATTTAGGTCCAAATAAAACAACATAAATGTATCCTATTAGGTCATTTTATTTTACTTGCATAATTAAGCTAAGAGATTATAACTTCTATCACTAAAGGGCTTGATCATTTCTTTTAGGACATTTCACATAATCAATTAAGAAATCTCTTATTATTTGCAGAGAATTTATTGGCTTTTGTTTGTAATTCAGCCAACTCTCAATTATTGTGGATATCAGAAGGAAGCCTTTATTTCTTCAAAAGCAGTGAAAATGTGCAAGATATAAAATATGCAATGATTCACAGAATTTATTAAGAATCACATTTATTACTAGGTAAATGTTCATAAACCAATTCCTTTGTAAATTTTAGTAACAGTAGCATAGTAGAAAATCTGTAAAACAAAATAAAACAAAAATAACCCAGTACTGTGATGAAGAAAGGACTTAACAGCTAGCGCTAGTGGTAAAGAACCTGCCTGTCAGTGCAGGAGACATCATGAGACATGGGTTTGATCCCTGGGTCTGGAAGTCCCCTGACGGAGGGCATGGTGACCCACTCCAGTATTCCTGCCTGGAGACTCCCATAGACAGAGGAGCCTGGCAGGCTGCAGTCCACAGGGCCGCAAAAAGCCGGACACAACTGAGGTGACGTAGCATGCACCCACGTGATGAAGATAAGAAAACTTGCTTGTTCTTCAAAATAGTGGACAAGTTCGAATCAATTCAGAATTAACTTCTGAACTGAGTTAAATTTTCCCTTTGCTGGCTTGGTCACTAATATTCAGGAAGCAAATAAAAAGTGAGTGAAGCAAGAAGCAGCCCAAACCTAGATGTGTGCGTGCATGTGTGCACAGTCACATCAGTCGTGTCTGACTCTGGGACCGTATGGAGTGTAGCCTGTCAGGCTCCTCTTTCAACAGGATTCCCCAGGCAAGAATACTGGAGTGGGTTGCCATGCCCTCCTCCAGGCGATCTTCCTACCACAGTGATTGCACCCATGTCTCCTGCATTGCAGGTGGATTCTTTACCCACTGAGCCACCCGGGAAGCCCCCAAATCTAGATACTTCCCCCCTAAATAACTGAGAGTTGACTGCAATTACTTACAGGCTCTGGGTCAAATCCTATCTGTCCAGTTAACTCTGCTACCTCCTTTTCATGGTAATCATCCAGTTCAAGGGGATTCATGGGCCCCAGACCTTAATGGAAACATCACATCTTATTATTTTGTTAAAGTAAATGAAGAATGCTACCTAAATTTAGACCTTTTTTATAGAAACACTTACCTGTTCCCTTTTGTAATATAATTAGAAATGATAAAAAATGAAAACAAACTTAACTTTCTAATTACCCTCTAAGAGGAACTTACCACCCACCTTATTCCTATTGCTACTTAGATTAAGAAATCAGGGGGAAATATTAGAAGATAAAGCTGTAATAGCACTTGTTAAATATTCTAAGTTTGTTCTTTTTACTCATTAAAGTGAACTCGTACCTGTAAAGTCATGATTATATGAAGTGATCCAGTGGGACCTCTCGAGATTTCTTCGTATGTTGTCTTCTCTTAGAGAAGTAATAGGGTCCCATGAGTTTAAAGAAGTGTTAGGAGCGAAGGTTTTAGGTGGTTTTGGGTAGAACACTGGCTTGTTTTTCTCAACACATTTAGGAAGCTAGAAAATGAGTATAAAAGGTCATTGCTGTTAGAAAAGATCATAATACTTTTCCTTCATTAATTACTAAGATTCTGCAACTGTAACCTAAACTGTATTTAGAGTTAAACACAGTATTTTTATCAAAGGAGGTCCTTTTGAAAATTCCTTTACTTTAGCAGGGCGTCTGAAAGTATACTTTGGAGAAAGGCAATGAAATTTTATTAGAGAGATAAAGGACTCTGAGGTACAGCCAAAATTGTGTGCGTCCTACTTCTCCTTCCCTCCCTAACATGACACTATATGATAACATTTGTGAATTTCTGATGAAGGCTAACTCACTCAAATGCAAATAAAAATTTCATTCTGTAGACATAACTGCTTTACAAATAGACTTTTATATTTCCAAAAGGAGATATGCACATAAAAGTGAATGAATGGGTTTCACTGTTGTCTTTTTGTTTACTTAGAAATTCACTTTTTCTCAGATTGATGATTTTCAATACATATTTACAGAGCACCTACATGTGTAAGGTAGTGGCAGACACATGGATGGATCAGAAGCAAATCTTGTCATTGAGGAGTATATTGGCTAGAAGGGGAGATAAGGCGTGAACATAAATGACTATAAGATGGACAGCAACTCTTCGCTACAGGAGAAGTTAAGATAAAATAGTTTGGAAGTTCAGAGGAGGGAGAAATTGATTCCAGCTGAATAGGGAAGTGGTGCTGGAAGCACAGGGTGGGAGGAGACAAGAGACCATCTTAGGTGACAACGCAGAAAGTAGGCCTTGAGTGGCCTGCAGAGATGGAGAAGCTAGAGGAACAGCAGGGGCAGAGATGGGGTGGTGGGAAGTGTGGAATAAATGTTGCTTGAACCTTGTGAACTTGTCCTTATAGCCAGGCCCACCCTTAACATTTGCAGGTCCTGGGATTTGAGTACAATGAGAGCCCACATTCCATTAGTCTAAATAGTTCAATTTGTAAATCAAGCAAATAAACTGTTCAGTAAGTATGTTTCATTCTCCTACCTTGATAAGATACTTTCATAACAACCTGGAAGACCAGGTTCAAATTTAGACTTCTTAGACTATTGCAGGTCTTCTTAGACTGTCCCAAGTATTGCACTGGGACATGGTGGTTCAGAAAGAGCCAACTGCTGGCCCCTGGCCCCTGACTGCTTTCTTACCTCACTTTCTTACCCCTACTTCCACCCCAAACTATGAGGTGCCTTTTATATGAGGGTACCTATCCCTTAAGTTCAAGTTCCATATACCTATTACTGCCTCCCTTCCAGCACACAGCCACCTCTTGGCCACCCGTTTGGTCTAGAGGGATATAGTAGCTTGGCAGCACTGTCAACCCCTGGGAGGATGGAGCTGGGGAAGAGACCCCATAAAGGGCCCGAAACTGGGTTCAAAGCCACTTGTCAGGGAATGCAGTCCAGCATCAATCTGGGGCAAGAGACTGGGGAGCACAGGTTCAGATGGACACATCCTCTTGTTCCCATAAACTTTCTGCCCCACAAGGAGGGGCACAGTTAGCCAGAGCTGGGCCTTATAAAGCACGGGCATTCTAAGTTCCTGGGCCTAAGGGCAGTGCTGCTCACTGCAACACTGTGAGGTTGGAGGGAACCCCATTTACATACCTACAGTAGTCATGATAAAAGCCACTTGGTAAAAATCTGTCTCAAGAAGTATTAAATAACCAGCTCTATAAACCTTTCACAATTATGTGGCCTGCCTATCCCAGGCTAAATAAAGCCCTCTGTATTTCTTTATCATGATTTGCAAAGCCAGCTTGTTTCAAATATTGTTCTGAGTGGCAAGATTAATTCTGTGTCTTAACTGGCCCAAAGAGTTGATGCTTTTGAATTGTGGTGCTGGAGAAGACTCTTGAGAGTCCCTTGGACTGCAAGGAGATCAAACCAATCAATCCTAAAGGACACCAACCCCAAATACTAACTGGAAGAACTGATGCTGAAGCTGAAGCTTCAATACTTTGGCCACCTGATGCGAAGAGCCAACTCTTTGGAGAAGACTCTGATGCTGGGAAAGATTGACGGCAGGAGGAGAAGGGGGCAACAGAGGATGAGATAGTTGGATGGCATCGACTCAACGGACGTGAGTTTGAACATACTCCAGGGAGAGTGAAGGACAAGGAAGTCTTCAGTTCTGGGGTGCTGCGGTTCATGGGGTCGCAAAGAGTCAGACATGACTTAGTGACTGAAGAACAAGAATTTGGTCTATCTAACAGCAGGGATCTATGAAATGCAATCACAGGCACAAAGGAAGAAAATAGGGAATGTAAGATTTTATTGTAGCCTGAGTTATCTTGGGAAGAGTTTAAGGGGTCAGGAAACTTTTCAGAGTGGAGAGTTAGCCAGTTTTTAATGTGTTACGTAATGTAATACTGCCAGAACAGTGACAGAGGGATTGTGGAGGATCATTCACTCAATAGGTATTTATTGGTTGAATATGGGGGCTTCCTGGTGGCTTAGATGGTAAAAAATCTGCCTGTAATGCATGCAGATCAACCTGCAAACCCAGGTTTGATCAAGGCTCAAGAAGATCCCATGGAGAAGGGAATGGCTATCCACTCCAGTATCCTTGCCTGGAGAATTCCATGGACAGAGGAGCCTGGCGGGCTGTCGCAGAGTTGGATGCTACTGAGTGACTATCACTTTCACTTTAGGTTGAATATACTATTCACAGGTGAAAGTTAGGATCTGATATGGAAGGTAAGTACAGAGTAGAATTTCCAATTTCTGAGATGTTAACATCTCAGCAGACACTCTGAGTCTACAATGGAGTATGTTAGTTGTTTCAGTTCAGTTCAGTTTAGTTGCTCAGTCGTGTACGACTCTTTGTGACCCCGTGAACCGCAGCATGCTAGGCCTCCCTGTCTATCACCAACTGCCAGAGTCTACCCAAACCCATGTCCATTGAGTCGGTGATGCCATCCAACCATCTCATCCTCTGTTGTCCCCTTCTCCTCCTGCCCTCAATCTTTCCCAGGGTCTTTTCAAATGAGTCAGCTCTTCACATCAGGTGGCCAAAGTATTGGAGTTTCAGCTTCAACATCAGTCCTTCCAATGAACACCCAGGACTGATCTCCTTATGATGGACTGGTTGGATCTCCTTGCAGTCCAAGGGACTCTCAAGAGTCTTCCCCAACACCACAGTTCAAAAGCATAAATTCTTCAGCACTCAGCTTTCTTTATAGTCCAACTCTCACGTCCATACATGACTACTGGGAAAACCATAGCCTTGTTAGTTGTTTAGAATTTGGAATACATTCTCAGAGGAGGAGTGCTATATAAATGGTTGTTATATTCCCAACAGAGCTGATAAAAATCTATGAAACTTGTAAATTATTTAATAAACATTTACTGAATACCTGATACAAGCAAAACTATGTGCTAGCTTTTAAGTGCCCTGGGCTAGGCACCAAAAACTCTATAAATTGCAATAAAATAACAGGAATTAATATAGTCATAACATGTTAAAACAAAGCACTATATATAATGTGTTGTTTTAGTCTTGAGTGGTGGGGCTTACTAAGGTTTAATGGAGACGAGGTCTATTATGGAGAACACTTTGCTCTTTGGAGAGACATTAACATTGGGGACACATTGGATCTTTATTGGATCATATTTCATGTTATTGTGTCAGCACTGTTTTTACATTAAGAAGCCATGATTAGGAACTTTGTCATTTGCATATGAAATGAATAGAGGACGGAGAGCAAATAAGACAGTGGCAGAGATACATTTCTTTGTTATCTAGTTAGGACTTTGAAACAGAGAAAGTTGAAGGCATAAGAGGATGCATGGTAGGAGGAAGGCTACCTGGGACAGAATGGAGGAAAAGCAAAGGCACCAAGACAGTGAGTAGAGAGCATGCCCATTAGAGAACAAATGGCAGATACAGCAGGAACTAGAGCATAGTTTTCCTAATTTGGTTCACTCTCTGCTCTGCAACAGAAACAATGAGGGTTGAGCTGAGCCTTGAAGAAAGAGCAAGTCTGAGATGACAGAGAAGACAGCATTTCAGGAAGAGGCAGTGGCCATGAACCTGCTCAGGGACCAGCGAACAGGCCAGGCTGTGAGAAGGAAGAGAGGAGGGAAGGCCAGAACCAAAGGGTCATTGTAGCATTAAAGCACTGGAATTCACACTCAGGTAAAGGGGTGCTAATCAAGATTGCCAAGAGGGGTGACACGAGTTACAGCAGTATTTTAATCAGCAGGTAGAAATGAGAGGAATTGAAAGAAGAAAACTTCTCATATTTCTAGGTTACTTTGACACAGATTTTGCTTGAAAGAATAAAAGTCATCTAGTCAGATAGATGATTCTTGAAGGATTTTTCTTGACATATATAACTTTACAAAAAAACAAACAGGAAATTGCTTCATAGATGACTGTATGACATTGCAATGACCACACTCTGGCCTGCCACAGTAATCTTTCCCAGAGAAATTCAAATGTTTCTATGTTTCCATCATTATTTCTTGCCTACTTTACAGACTACTAGATGCAAGGACATAATATATGGAAAACATTTGGCATTGCCCCTCACAAACTAACTGACCAGTGAATGTTAGCTATTATTATTTTCAAATATATGTTTTCCTTCATGATTTCAAAGTGTTCTCTTTTTACTATGTGGAGTCATGGTACAGAGGTTAAGAACAGACACTGGAGTCTCATGAGCGTTAGTTTTATGATTGTGAGATAGTTATCAACTCCTTGAGCCTCAGTTTCCTCATTTATAAAATGGGGATGATCATACTAACCTTTTGAGTGTGTTGTAAGGGCCAAATGACACCTTATATATAAAGAAGTTAGGGTGTAGCAATTTCTTAATAAATGGTGGCTACTGTTTTATTTTTGATTCTGCACAAAGGTACTACTGTAATTGGCACATTAAATTGCAAATCTTTCTGTAAACCTCCCATTTACTCTATGTATATTCGAAGTTACTTGATATATTATGAATCATAAGAACAGAGTTGCAGAGACAGTGAATGATCTACAGTCCTCATTTACTTCATTTTGCAGGGAACTTTTTATAAATATGGAAATGTTACATAAAATGTTACATAAAATCAGTTAAGAAAACAAACAAAAAATGTGAATCATGGTCAAAATCTCAATGTTTCCATCTGTATAGAAAATAAAACTAATCTATCTTTTGGATTTTTATAACCATAGAAAGCAAAAGCATCTTTTACTTTGTTTTAAACACACATTTAAAAAGATACTTACGTCAAAATATACTTGCTGACCTGGCCAAACCAATGCTTTCTTCTTGGAATCCGTTGGAAAATCAAGCAGTTCATATCTGTAAGGGTTACCTGAAATTTTCCAGAAAAGCAGCCTTTTAATTAATAGAATTTATGGGTGCAATAAATACAAACAAGATAATAGAGAGGAACGCGGGTGCACATTTGAGCTTTACAGTTATAGCTCTGTTTGAACTCTTGCCCTTAGTAAACACATGTGGGCCACACAGAGCAAGAGTGAGTCTTGAAGCCTGGTGCCTTCAGCAGATTGAGGGGGCAGCAGTCCAGCTCCTTTCTTGTTTTTTGTTTTTTTAAAGGTGATTTAAGTAAATCCTAGGAAAAGGGATTCTTAGGTAAATCATAAATCTCTTCCTAGATACTCTCTTTGGTCTCTGAAGACTCAGCAAATACATTTCTATACCACCTGTTTTAGATTTTCTCTGTTTAAATATCACGAAATGGAGTGAGTACATGCTTACCAAAAGAAGTATTTAAATAGAACATTTAAAGAATACAACTTTTTAGGTATTGGTGGTAGCTGGAGAAGCTTTACCAAATATAGCCTGGCTTCCCCTGGTCCTATGATAAACTCCACATTAAAGCATGCTCTGAACACCCATCACCATATGTAATAAGAACAAAGGCTGGCATTTAGAGAACACTTATTATAATGTTAGTATTATACTGCTAGTATTATACTGAGTGCTATGAGGAAGGTACTATTATTTCCATTTTAACAAATAAGGAAATTGAGGCACAAGGAAAATCAGCAATTTTCCCAAGGTCACACAATGAATAAGTGCAATAATTCAAATTTAGGCAATCTGATTCTAGAGCTTCTCTCTTAACCTAGATTCTATTTATTTCCAGAAAAGAAGAGTTAAAATAAGTGGAAGAGTAGAAAATCCAAGGTAGTACTAGTTCCTGGAAAGGTTTTATTTATTTATTAGGGTTATTGGGGTTATTATTATTATAATAATAATAGAGAATAATATACTCATAACCCTTAATTAAGGGTTGACCAGTTAGTAGATGCTTGAACCAGAAGATTAAGCTGGTAACTTATTTCTTCAATACCTGGTCTACAACTGCAGTGAAAAGTGTTTTTGTAAATTCAACACATATTTGTGTGATTTCTTCCTAATCGTATGCACTTCATGTAATTTCAGAAATAAACTAATTTCAGTTCAGTCGCTCAGTTGTGTGACTCTTTGCGACCCCATGAACCACAGCATGCCTGGTCTGCCTGTCCATCACCAACTCCCGGAGTTCACCCAAACTCATGTCCATTGAGTCAGTGATGCCATCCAACCATCTCATCCTCTGTCGTCCCCTTCTCCTCCTGCCCTCAATCTTTCCCAGCATCAGGGTCTTTTCAAATGAATCAGCTCTTCGCATCAGGTGGCCAAAGTATTGGAGTTTCAGCTTCAACATCAGTCCTTCCAATGAACACCCAGGACTGATCTCCTTTAGGATGGACTGGTTGGATCTCCTTGCAGTTCAAGGGACTCTCAAGAGTCTTCTCCAACACCATAGTTCAAAAGCATCAATTCTTCAGCCCTCAGCTTTCTTTATAGAAAGAAAGCTCACATCCATATGACATCCATATCTCACATCCATACATGACCACTGGAAAAACCATAGCCTTGACTAGATGGACCTTTGTTGACAAACTAATGTCTCTGCCTTTTAATATGCTATCTAGGTTGGTCCTAACTTTCTTCCAAGGTAAGTGTCTTAATTTCATGTCTGCAGTCACCATCTGCAGTGATTTTGGAGCCCCCCAAAATAAAGCCTGACACTACTTCCACTGTTTCCCCATCTATTTGCCATGAAGTGATGGGACCGGATGCCATGATCTTAACTTTTCTGAATGTTGAGCTTTAAGCCAACTTTTTCACTCTCCTCTTTCACTTTCATCAAGATGCTCTTTAGTTCTTCTTCACTTTCTGCCATAAAGGTGGTGTCATCTGCATATCTGAGGTTATTGATATTTCTCTCGGTAATCTTGATTCCAGCTTGTGCTTCATCCAGCCCAGTGTTTCTCATGATGTACTCTGCATAGAAGTTAAATAAGCAGGGTGAAAATATACAACTTTACATACTCCCTTTCCTATTTGGATCCAGTCTGTTGTTCCACGTCCAGTTCTAACTGTTGCTTCCTGACCTGCATACAGATTTCTCAAGAGGCAGGTCAGGTGGTCTGGCATTCCCATCTCTTTCAGAATTTCCAACAGTTTATTGTGATCCACACAGTCAAAGGCTTTGGCACAGTCAATAAAGCAGAAATAGATGTTTTTCTGGAACTCTCTTGCTTTTTTGATGATCCAGCGGACATTGGCAACTTGATCTCTGGTTCCTCTGTCTTTTCTAAAACCAGCTTGAACATCTGGAAGTTCTCAGTTCACGTATTGCTGAAGCCTGGCTTGGAGAATTTTGAGCATTATTTTACTAGCGTGTGAGATGAGTGCAATTGTGCGGTAGTTTGAGCATTCTTTGGCATTGTCTTTCTTAGGGATTGGAATGAAAACTGACCTTTTCCAGTCCTGTGGCCACTGCTGAGTCTTCCAAATTTGCTGGCATATTGAGTGCAGCACTTTCACAGCATTATCTTTTAGGATTTGAAATAGCTCAACTGGAATTCCATCATCTCCACTAGCTTTGCTCATAGTGATGCTTCCTAAGGCCCACTTGACTTCACATTCCAGGATGTCTGGCTCTAGGCGAATGATCACACCATTGTGATTATCTGGGTCGTGAAGATCTTTTTTGTACAGTTCTCCTGTGTATTCTTGCCACCTCTTCTTAATATCGTCTAGTTCAGTTAGGTCCATACCAATTCTGTTCTGTATTGAGCCCATCTTTGCATGAAATGTAGAGATTTAAAAAATTAATTTACTTTGATGATTTACCTAATGAGATCATAAAAATTTCAACTGCTTAGATATCCTATACATATATACATACATGTGTGTATACATATGTATGTAGATATATATATCTATATATATATTTGATATAGCTTTCACTACTTTTGCACATACTAAAATCATTATATATAGCAAAATATGTAATAAAAATAGTAGTACACACATATATACACACATATACACATAGTACACACATATATACACATATATACCCTAACCCTATGTATGTGTATACACACATATAAAAATATAGTACACACATATATACATACATGTGTGTATACATATGTATATAGATATATATCTATATATATATTTGATATAGCTTTCACTACATTTTACACATACTAAAATCATTATATATAGCAGAATATGTAATAGAAATAGTAGCTGCTAACACAATCTCTATTATCTATGAAGTAGGCATGAATATTCCCTTTTACAGATTGGGAAGTGGAGGCAGAGAAGTTAAGGAACTTTCCCATGGTCCGTGGTGAGTAAATGGCAGAGCCAGTCCTGTGCAGTTGGACTCCCTAGTCCATGCTCTTAAACACGCCACCATATTTTTCAAAATTTACTGCCTCCTAATAAGATGCCGAGGTTGATATTGATGATGGCAGTATTCTCTTCTTATATTGGGCCCAAATATTCATGTACAGAGGAACTGCATTATAGTGTAGTTCTTGGATCTTACCAAAGTTCATTCAACAAATACTTACCCCTGTCTGCTATGTACCTCTCTTGTCATCTTCAGTTATCGGACCTCTAGTATCTTGTCTTTCTCCATAGATTTATTCTCTGTTTTGAGGTGTCTAGTATGGGATAGAACTGATGGCTAGTGTACGAGCTTACTATCCTTTTTAGTGAAACATATCTGGGAAGACCCAAAGGTTTGCATCTGCGAAAAGACACTCCAGAGTGTTCAAAGCAATTGATTAAGTTGATCTTATTACTTGCTGAGTCTTATTTCAATGATGATATTTTCAGTTTTATCACAACAGCTACATGCATGTCTAGACTGAGCCTCTAAGCCAAATGTTGTCCTTTGTGCTGACCACTTGAGCTAGAATGAAACTTGTCAAAGTTAAACCATAGAGAGAATGGGAAGGAAATAAACATTGAAAATACAAGTAGAATATAAGCAACTAATTCTACATTTGGTTCTGGTTATATCATAGGAAGCTCTGTATAAAAAGAAAAGTAAAGAGCATCTGCAGAGAATTTGATTTAGTCTGTAATGGGGTCCTTTGTTTAATGTTATTATTGAATAAACTTCAAATATAAAAAGAATGAATACTGTTCTGATTTCAAATCACATTACCTCTTGTCTTCAAAACTGTTGTATCATAAGGCTTTGTTGGCACCGTGGGAGGGAACGGCTGTTGGGTTCGGGCTTTAATGCCAGTGTAGAGATCCTTGGGTGATGTAAAAGTCGGGAACATGGCTCCACGGGAGATGTGTGTATGGTAGGGGTGTTCAATCGGATACGGGGAGCAGATTTCCCTGAGATTTTGTTGAGGAAACAAAACAGAATAGAAAGAAGTGCAATGGAAAACACTTAATCATCCAATATTTATTGGGACTCTGTCCTTGTGGCGAGTACTGTTCTAACCCCTGGCGTATGAGAGTGAGCCGAAGTCCCCATCCTCATGGAGTCACCATTCTGGTGGGATAGACACCACAAAACATATGACATTTTCTTAATTTTGCTAAATGAATTAAAAAAACATTATTTTAAGAATCTCAAAAATATACAAGCAACTTCTGCAGCTCAATTCTAGAAAAATAAACGACCCAATCAAAAAATGGGCCAAAGAACTAAACAGACATTTCTCCAAAGAAGACCTACAGATGGCTAACAAACACATGAAAAGATGCTCAACATCACTCATTATCAGAGAAATGCAAATCAAAACCACAATGAGGTACCATTACANCTTTGTTACATTAAAATCCATTGGTTTATCTTATACTTTGAAGAGATCAATTACTCATGTGTGATTTTGTATTATTAACAATTAGCCATTTAGAAAATATTGGATCAGGGATGTGAGAGGGGTGTTCAGGATGGGGGACACATGTACACCCGTGGTGGATTCATGTCAACGTATGGCAAAACCACTACAATATTGTAAAGTAATTAGCCTCCAATTAAAATAAATAAATTTATATTAAAAAATCAAAAAACAAACAAAAAATAAATCATAGTGAATTCTTTATCAGTGCATATATTTTGCTACTGATATAAAAATATGAAGTGGAAGATATATGAATTTTGTAGTTTTTGGAACACTACAGGAAGAATTTCTAGTTGCTTTCCATTCCTGCATCTTATTTTTAGAGAATCCCCATACTTCATTTTATGGAATCCTTTTAGGCATTCAGTTTCAACGGGCAAAATGATCCCTTACCATCTTGGACTCAATTAGGCCATCTGTTTCTTTAAGCAATCAATCAACAAAATATACTGCCTGTTTATCTACACAGTGTACACAGTACTGTTTAGAAATCAAAAAGCCAAAAATAGCTAGTATACTGAATGAAAAAAAAACCCCAACAATTTAAAGAGACAACAGGGATACAATTTTCTTATCATTTGAAGAACAAGCAGAGTTCTTAAAAAGAACTAGCAGAGGTTTAAAAAAAACTGTGTGAGAGTTACCTAAATTATAGGAGAATCAAAATTAGGAAGTCCAAGGAACAGAGAAGTGTTATATATAAGTAGAAAATACAGTTTTAAAAAAGGCTGGAATCTTCATCTCAAATTTCTAGTCTTCAGAACTGTGAGACTGTAAATTTGTTTGTTTGTGCTTTCCCCAGCAAATATAACCAGGGATAATTCAGACCTCCAACAGAGTGTGTGCAAACTGAATAGAAAACACGCTGCATCAGTACACGTGCTCTGGGCTTTTATGGGAGAAGAGCTAGGGAAAGGGTGTCAAAGTTGAACTGCATTTCTAGTGCTCACAGTGAGAACTCACAAAAATGACGGGAAAACTGTGTGATGTCTGTATTTATCAGGCCGAAATAAATGTATAAGTTATGCCACAAATGTTTATGTGAAAGTCTTGTTACTGAAATTTTTCTATCACTATTTTCCATCTAAGTATTGGCAGGATTTATATAATAGCTTTTGCAAGTTCCTATGGATGGTGTGACTATGAAAGAATGAGAATGATTTCTATAAGAAACATTTAAAAATGTCTCATTGCGAAACCCTGTTACATGTTTTTAAGGAAAACATGCACACAGATACATGTGTGGGTGTGTTCCTCCTCTTCCACTGTGTTTTCTAAATCTTGGCTTACTTATATAACCTGTTCATACTTGTGTGTGGTGTGGTGGGAGTTGTGTGTAGATTTTCAATTAGCCTGGTTGCAGGCTCCTCAAAGATACAGTATTTTGAGTTTTCTGTCATTGTGGTGTTTCTCTTCAAGGCCAGTTTGTTGTAGTGCTTTGGTAGGATTCTCATAAATGGTGATCTATAAAATAGGGCATTTTTTCTAATAAAAAATTCAATGCAAAAAAAAAAAATGTCTCATTGCTTTTGCATCATAGGGTATTTTTCAATAGCAGTCATTTTTGGTTAGTTTGGCCATCTGTTCTCGTCACCCTGATGCAAACCTGTACTGAATTCAGCAGCCTTGGCATCTTGGTGGGCTCTCTGAAATACCTCATAGCTTAAGATTCTTAACAAGTTCCTGGTCTCTTATGGACACCACAAGAAGTTAAGATTGATTTGTAAGAGAAAAAGCCTGGATTTCAGGCATAAGTCATTTCTGAGGCCAGTCAGCTATTTCTGTTTTTGTGTAAAGTGATGTGGTTCTCTTGCCCTTGTCGCAGGCTCTCGCACTTGAACACACTTTTAAATTTGGTATAGCATTATTTTATAGCTAGCCACTAAACACTTTTCCAGTTTATAAGTGCCACATCATCCCCTGGACAGCTTGGTAAAAGGTATAACATCATCAACTCTATGATGACATGAGAACAGAGAAACAGGACATTCCTGGATTCCAGCTAACTGATGTCCCTGGGAATCAGGAAGACACTGAAGTAGTGACTGCTCTTTCACTGAAGCAATCCTGGTTGTACTTCATTTTATATGCTATGCAATCATTTTCATTTCTTCGACATAAATATTTCCAGTGTCTGCTTCAATGGTTCTATAGTGAACTGTGCCTCCTTTGTAAGAGGAATTAATTTCTTACCATTTTGCTTGAAAATAAGTGAGCATTTAAAGTCTGAGCAAATAAAGCAGGAACAAACATGTTTATGCTCATGCAGAGTGTCCAGTCTGCTTGAGTCAGGAAAGGCTGGAGTTTCTCTGCTAACTGCTTTATCTACATTCTTTTTGAGAGAATAATCTGCTGATAAGTATTTAGCTCCAGGTCAGAGGCCAGGGCAAGGTGACCCCATGTTTTACTAATTTGATATTGGTAAGAACTTCCTGAACAAAAGTCATTACATTTCTTTTCATTATATCTTGCTTTTGTCACAAAGATACCAGAAAGCAGAGATTAACTTGTTAATTTAGAAAATAAATTCTAAAGGCCAAGAGTTTGTTGTGCTGTGTGTGTGTATTCAGTTGTGTCCGATTCTTTGCAACCCCCCCATGGACTGTAAATCACAAAAAAGAATCACAAGAATTCAATAAGCTTTTTCTTTCTGAGACTGGTCCTCTTAATAGAAAGTAAAATTGCAAAATGTGTATCTGTAGTTCTTAGGATCTTCTGGGTTTGGGTGTGGCCTGGATTTTGGCTTTGGGTAGAAGGGGTAAAAGCGGGACTAGGAAGGCAGCAAGGGGCCTCCATTAATTATCATCACTTAGGATTAAGGCAAAACTTTTTCCCCTTCAGATTCTAGTAATATATATTTCCTAGCAAACAGTATTAAGTTATATCCGGTAATGATTTAGGAAAATGTTTTTTACTTTTAAGACCTGAAAGCTGTGGACTCTGCATTTCTTGAGTCGAGGTATATTACGGAATTTCATTTAATATCTGGTATATATGTTATTTTTGTTAGTTAAAAAAACTGCAAATTATACCCTCAACTAAAATTTCAAGTTGTAACCCATTCAAGTTTTGAGTACCAATGACCAGAATGTATATTTATTCCTTTAAACTAAGACTATGTAGAAAATAATTATGTTCCTGTTATATTAAATGATTTATAAATATTACTTTTCATTTTGTGTCCATAAATAGAGAAGAAATAATACGGAAAAGGCAGAATATGAAACACTTGTGTAACTACATAGACATTTAAATAAAGGAATCCGGTTTCTCTTTGAATAATTCAGTCAGAGGCATGCTGTCTCTGGCCTCAGTCTGCCCTGCGGGGCAGGTCTACCAAGACTTTTATCAAAACGCTACACAGCTCTCCCAAGGGGATGTCTGAGGAGCTGAGGTCAAAGGAAGAGACTTTGGAACTTATCGGACTATAAAGTCATCTGAGGAAAAAAATAAAACCAACAAAAAAGGGCTTTACTTTTTGTTTTTCATGTTGCCACAAAGAGAATTTCAAAACTCCAAAACAAAGGTCTTCATATAGTTGTTTTTTGAAAAGGAAAACCCCAAAGAACCTAGACTTTACTTTTAATAACCTTTTGAGCAGATCTTTGCTTTAAATGGAATGCAACTTTTAAATGCCAGCTTAGTATTTCCAGTTAAGATTGATAGGGACTCCAACAGCATCAGGGACACCGAGCACTCAGATAGTGGATTCTAATACCATTCTCCAGTGGAAGGAGCTGGACTCCTTGGAGAAATGGCTGGTTCTAGACCTGGGGCAGGACATAAACAGGATGAGCCTGGAGCATCTTGTACTACAGAAGCATCTTGTACTGCCAGGAAGTAAGGAAATGCTAAAAGAAAAAGCCCCACAGTGATAAGTGATGAACGACTTAAAAACAAAGAAACAAACAGAAAAATAAACCAAAAACCCTCATACAAAATGCCCCCAATGATAGGGGTATGGGCATAGAAGCCAACTGAAAGAGCTCCTGTGGCCAATTTGAATGACAAAATAAAGTAGTACAGGATTGCTACTAAAGTATCCAGTATAAGATAAAATCCATGGATTTTAATCATGGATTAAATAGGTGATTAAATAAATGAGGAGGAATAGACATATTTCCCTTACAAAACAATACCAAATAATTTATGCAGATACCCTGCCTTCAGATAATTCCAGACTTTTAAGTGTGGGCTGCACTTAGTGATTTTCTTCTAAAGAGTATAGGATGGGAAATGGAGAAAAAAAGGTTAACTGCACACTGGGGGAACCTCATAAATACTACATCAGCTAGGTAATCAAGGTTACCATCAAAAGTGATAAGTTATGCACTGGGTAGGATATGATGAAAATGGCAGTTTACCTCTGTGGTTCTCCTCCCTGAAACATACTTCTTCAATCTAATCATGGGGAAAACACCAGACAAGTCCTGATTGGGGGACATTCTACAAAATACCTGACGGATAATCATCAAAACTATTGAGGTCATTTAAAGTATTTATTTTTACTTATTTGGCTGTGCCAGGTCTTAGTTGCAGCACATGGGATCTAGTTTTCCTGACCAGGGATCGAACCCTTTGCATTGGGGGCACCGAGTCTTAGCCACTGGACCACTATGAAAGTCCCCTGAGGTAATTAAAAAAAAAAAAAAGGGAAGTCTGAGCAACTGTCAGAGCCAAACGGAGCCTAAGGAGACATGACTACTAAGGGTACTGTGGTGTCCTGGATAGGATCCAGGAATAGCAAAAGGACACTAGGGAAAAATTGAGGAAATCTAAACAATACTAATGCACCACTACTGGCTCATTAATAGGACAAAGGTACCATACTAATATAAGATGTAATAATAGGGGAAACTGGGTATGAGGTAAATAGGAAATCTCTGTCCTGTTTCCCCAATAATTTTGTAAATATAAAATAGGACTAAATTTAAAAGTTTACTTTAAAAAATTAGTCGGGAATATAATTGGGGGAAATCAGTAATACTGTTATTTCAGACTTGTATCAGCCTCTTCTCTTGCCTGATTAAGGAAAAAAAGAACCATGAAAAGTATAACTTGTCCTTATACTGTCTTAAGACATATAGATGGCCAATATGTTTTTCTTGACTATAACAGGGAAGGAAAATATAGTTGTCTACTTACCCTACTGTTGAATTAGGTGGTTTGGGCAGCCTAGAATAAAAACAGGAAACAAATCCTAATTTATATTAAGGACTTTTAAAAGCTCACATTTTTATTAGTGACTTGCTTAACAATAAAGAAGTATCCCATTTGCAAACTACAGAGTCTTTATGATACTGATTGACTTTCTGGAACGCTCAGTATTAACCAGATAGATATGATATTATCATATCTCAGTTGTCTGTTGGTCAATTTTTCCCATTAAGCTTATTCTAACTTCAGCCCCACTCACCACTCTGCATTTCTAACTTATTCTAGTGATAATAGAGCTTTAGTTCTTACTGACTTCACGCTCATAGGCAAAGCACCGAAGTGCTCTGAGGTAGCCTGACACCATGCATGTGGTGCAATTCCATGACCTAAAGTGACCTGAGTGTGGCCTGGTTGGAGAAAACATATAAGTACAGTGTGTGCTTTGCCCCTTTGCCCAGAATTGCTCACCTCTCATGAGAGTAAATGTTGCCCAGTTGCAGAGAGGCTAGAACAAAACTGAACAAGTTCTCAGAGGCATGCCTTTTCTGAATCACTTCACTATTAGAAGGTTGTGTATTTACTAATTGCTCTGAGCTCTACGTGCCAAGAAATAACACTGCAGCCCAGGGACAAAATCCACACTAGAGAAGGACTGTCATCAACTTTCATTGGATTTCAGCAATTAGTTTCAGCCTACACAAATATTTCTGAAATATTTGAGTTATGAAAAATGAACAGAATGCTATCAGTCAATAGTAAAGGCAGTAAAATTGAATATACTGTTTGCTTTTTTATATGTTCCTCTATTTAGAAAGTGGTACATAAGCCATATAATTTTATCAGTCTATAAAGTATTGTAAACACACAATCCACATGCACTGTAAAAGGTTTATATCTTTATTTGGACTCTAAGTTTGTTGGAACTGAAAAAAAAAGGCATGCCTTCCAGTTAAATTTCTGGTTGAGTAGGGGATGGAAAGCAATGAATATAAGAATCTATGAGATGGAGAGCTATCAGATTGACTATTATATATGAAACATTATATCAGCATTTAAGATTTTTCTCATTTAGCTGATTTTGACAAGTACTTACCTAAAATTAATTTGATTCAACATGGAAAAAATTGTGTGTGTGTGTATGTGTATAACTGAAATCACTTTGCTATACACTTGAAACTAATACATGGTGAATGAACTATACTTCAATTAAAAAAACAAAATAGAAAAATAAGAATAAAAATTAAAAAAGAAAAGGCTTTTTTAAAAATTCAAAGTTTGAAAGGATAAAATGAAAATAAAAAATGCTCAGAGACATGAATTCCTTGACCTGAACCTATCCATGATTTTACTGCCACTCTCTACTTTTCAGTTTATTAATCCCAAAGGGAAAAAGGCCTAGCAACCACAAATTTCATAACTTTTTGGCTCCCTCTTGTGGCTGAACTCTATATTAACTTATTATCTATAAACAGAACTGTTAGTATTTTCATTTTTACGTCAGTGTGGTCAGTGTTTTATTTTTATCTGAAAATTATAAAGTAGGCCTTTGTAATATATACAACAAACTATTTCAATGAGCAAAAAAAATACACTAGAAAATAATTCCTCTAAGCAAAGAGTAAATTAAGTATTCTTTATCCAAAAGAGAAACTTACAGAGTAATTTTATTAAGAGTTATTTGTAGATTGTCATAACAAACCACTTTCATAAAATTCTGATTAAAATTTTTATTGAGGGCACTGGGGCTTTTTCTATGACCCTCTTAAGAAATGTAACAGATTCTTATTAGATAGAATAACAAAGTCAAAGGCAGGGAAATGGGTCAAGAGGACCTGTATGAATCTTTTTGAACATTACTATTCCACCTTTCTGATTTTTTTTTTGTTTAAATGCAACAAATTATTAGTAGGTTTTAGTCTATTTATTTTATTCTTGTTCTTTTGGTCTTGGTTTCTATAATCAATGATCTCTATTTAAAAAAAGGAAGACTTTTGTTTTTCTAGAAGTTCCCTAGACTTGAGGAAAATTTGGAGACTTTTAAAATTTTGCATATAACTCATTTCTACTTAAAAATGTTATTTGATTTCACAAAAGGAAAAGAAACCTCAAACTTACAAAGAATCATTTCCGTAGATGTCACTTTTTTTGTTCTGTGACAAATAATAATATTGTTCAATAGGAAGCTTTCTGAAAAGAAAGAAAAGATTAAATTGAACATCCTTTTAATGGCAATGTAATGGTGAAATAGTAAAAGATAAATAGATGAATACAACCATATATACGTGGTAATTCAGTACATGAAAAGATGGCACTTTACATTAGTGGGAAAAGGCTTATTTTTTAATAAACAACGTAGGAAAAATTCACTAGCCATTTGGAAAAAAGGATTTCAACTTCATACTATTCACAGAGATAATTTAGATGGATTAAAAATCTAAGGAATTGGTGAAAAGCATACAAATATTAAAAAAAATATAGGAATATGTTTTTTTCTTGGTGGCAGGGAAAACATTTTAAATAAGATTTTTAAAAACTCAAAAATCAAAAGGAAATTTGATAACATCAAATGCAAAATTTTTGAAAAGGACTTCCCTGGTGGCTCAGTGGTAAAGAATCTGTCAATGCAGGTGACATGGATTTGAGTCCTGATCTGGGAAAATCCCACATACTGAGGAGCAACTCAGGCCATGCACCCCAACTACTGAGCCAGTGCTCCAGAGCCTAGGAGTCACAACTCCTGAGCCCACATGCTGCAACTACTGAAGCCCGTGTGCCCTAGAGCCTGTGTTCCACAACAAGTGTGTGTGTGTGTGTGTGTGTGTGTTAGTTGCTCAGTTGTGTCCAACTCTTTGCAACCCCATGGACTGTAGCACACCAGGCTCCTTTGTCCATGGAATTCTTCGCAACAAGAGAAGCCACCGCAATGAGAAGCCCATGCACCACAACTAGAAAGTAGTTCCCACTTGCCAAAAGTAAAAAAGCCTGTGCAACACTGCCAGCACAGCCCAAAATAAATAAATAGAAAAAAACTTAAAAAAAAGATAAGGAGAATTTATAAAAATTTAAGACAAGACAGTATAAAAAAGCTCAAATAAAACAAAGATTAGAAAAATTATTCATAATAGATACATATAGGGTTAATATCCAGAACATAAAGAACCAGTAAGAATCTATAGCTAAAACACAAGCAATAAAAAGGAGCAAAGAATAAGAACAGAAAGAAAATATAAATGGTCAAAAATAAGAAAACAAATGCAAGAAAATAGTACTCAGTCTAATCAGAGAAATGCATTCTGAAAATCAAGATAAACTTTTTATTCTATAGATAGGCAAAAATTATACAGTTTGATAATGTTAGTACAGTTGGCTAAGAATATGGCAAAATGGATACTTTTAGATACTACTATGGGAATATAAAGCATTTGGGGGCTAAAATTAAAAATAATTCATATATTGTGATCCATAACTTCTACTTAGAATTTTCCCTGGAGAGACATTTGTGTATTGAGTTCAAGGAAGCCTGTATAAAGATATTCATACATTTAGTTAATACAAAAGAAGAAAAAGAAAATATAAGAATGGCTAAATAATTTAATACACCCATACTGTGAAACACTATGAGAAATTTAAAGAATCAGATAAATCCATATTTACAATCTTTAGATTGCAATTTTAGGTTCATGGCAAGGTTGAGAGATTTGAAGGTAGAGATTATAAAACACCCTTTAACTCACACATGCTTAGCCTCCCCCATTATCAACATCTCTCACAAGAGTGGTACATTTGCTAGGCTTGATGAACTTCCACCGACACATTATTATCACCTGAAGTCCATAGTCCCCGCAGCCTTCATTCTTGGCGCCTGTGATATTTTAATACATACTGTAGTGCTGAACTCAGTATCTTTTGAACACCCATCCTACATCTCATCTACCCAACGTAGACTCCAAAATACTCGCTTTCTCAGTCTTTGGGATTGGTCCTAGAGTGTGAGGGTTATTCATTCCCCACAAGAATGCTCACCAACAGAATCTCACAACTGAGGGTGTTCTCAATTAGCTAGATACTCTGTGGGCATCTGTCAGGCTTTCTCCAGTCACCCAGTGCTTTCTTGGTGGCTTCATAAACTAAATTATTACAGGGGCAGGGACAGAAGTTCTCATGTATGAACTCAGCAACATGAAACTCTCCTTCATCAAAACTGGTCTGGCTACATTTAAGTTTACCAGCAGAAGTTACCAATCCTAAGTAATTCATAGAGAAAAATCTCCCTGGGTGTACTAGTCACCCACCTGGTGGGTGGTTGACTACATTAGACCCCTGCACCATTAAAGGTGACTTATCCTCACAGGAACCTCTAACTAAGGATTTCCCTTTCCTCCTCACTACATTGCTACCAGTTACATCATCAGTGGAATGTAACTGAATGCCTTATTCACTACATGACATCTTAAACAGTATTACTCTTGACTAAGGAACTCAATTTATCACAAAAAGAAATAAGGCACTGGTTGAATTTAAATGATTCACTGGCCTTGTCATATTTACAGATTGCTAGAATGGCCTATTGATGATTCAGCTATGGCTCAGTGTTGTCCTAAAGAGTGTGGCACATGCTCTGAACTGGTGACCAATAAATATTTTCCCCTGTAGCCAGAATGCATGGTCTAAAAGTACAGGGGGAAGTGGGAGTGAGGCCCCTCACTGTTTTTATTACACTTGAGAAAATTTTTACTTCCTCCCCAGCCACCTTGAGCTTTGCTCATTTAGAGGTTAAGGGAGAAACGCTGCCACCAGACGACATAACAATGGTCCCACTGAACTGGAAGCTGAACTGATGATGTAATCTGGGGCTCCGTATGACTCTGGAGAAAACAGGCAAGAAAAAATTATTCCAAATAGGCTGGGATGATAGACCCTAAATGCGAAGGACAAAAGGATTGCCGCTCTACCATGCTGGGGAAAAGGAGCATTTCTAGAACCGGGAGAATCTTTTGGACACCTCCTAACATTGCTCCCAGTGGCATAAAATTCATAGAATAGCACAGTAGCTGCACACACCGCTAACAGCTTAGTTTTTTTTTTGTTGTTTTTTAAGATTTAAGCTTATTAATTCCGCTGTGTTGGGTCTTTGCTGTTGTGCGGGGCTACTCTCTGGTTGCGGTGTGCGGGCTGCTCGTGGCCGTGGCTCTGCTTGTCTCAGAGCACAGACTCGCGGGCACGTGGGCTTCAGCAGTTGGGGCTCCCAGGCTCTAGAGCACAGGCTCAGTTGTTGTGGCCCACGGGCTTATTAGTTCCTCCTTGTCAAATGAGAGCTTCCCTGATCAGGGATCAAACCCGTGGCTCCTGCACCGGCTGGCAGATTCGTTAGCACTGAGCCCCCAGGGAAGCCCCAAGGGAAGCTTAGATCTTTCAGGAATAAAACTTGGGGTTCCACCAGGTGAAGGCTTCCCTTGTGGCTCACAGTGAAAGAATCGGGAATACAGGAGACCTGGGTTCGATCCCTGGGTCAGGAAGAGCCCCTGGAAAGGGAATGGCAACCCACTCGGTATTCTGGCCTGGAGAATTCCATGACAGAGGAGCCTGGTGGGCTACAGTCCACGGGATCACAAAGAGTCAGACACGGTTGAGCAACTAACACACACACACACACACATACACACACACATACACATCAGGTAATAAATTCCTACGGGCTGAGGGCAAGGTTACTTGAAATATTTTTAAGAGATAAATATGATAATGATAATATTTAATTGATAAAAATGATAACATTTAACACAAAAGGGTGTGACAAGAACCAAATATATTAACCTGCATTTCTGAGTCAGGAGTGATTGACATTCTAATTGGAACAAATATTTCCTTTCCCAAGTATCCTATGGCTGCATTCCATAAGACACTAAGACTTCTTTCTCATAAGAAGCTAGTCTTTTGCTTTCTTTTTACCCACTATAATTCTGAATATACTTCTAAATCTTTTAGAATATTGTACATTTTTTTAACATACACATTCTGGGGACCAGAACTATAAACTCCATGAGGAGCTATAGCTTAATCTTAACAATGCTTGCTATATTCAAATGACTGAATAAATGAATAGCTGGAATGAGTGAATGAATGAACAGATGAAAAGAATGTGGACTATGGAGTTAAATAAACCTGGATTCAAATCCCCATTCTGAAACTTCATATTGTCTGACCCAAGGAAAGTTACTGAACCTCTTGGGTCTCTATTGTAAAGCCAGGATAACAATTTCCACTTTACAAAGATATTAAAAATCTATATTATATTAGAAAGTAAGTTCCACGAGAGTGGGGGCTTAAACAAATCTGTTGAATGAATTAATGAACTTGAGGTCTTATCTTCAATGTGTCAATATTTGCATCTTTCCAATTGGACTTTTCATTTGTCTGCTTTTTATTACTTTACTGAAGCTTTCATAAGGCTACCACATGTCCCTATTGGTATTGCTTTCCTCTCTAGCTGTGGCCTATTTATTTATTTTAACTGCTTTAGAATAAAAAACTATTTAGCTAGATTGTTAGTAAACTAGGTAGCCAGGATTGTTAGATAAAGCAGGAGTAAGCAGGCTCTGTGTGGAGAAGCTTCAGTGGATTTTGTTTGGAGTAAATTTCATGCTTAGAGTTAATGTGACTAATTTACTGCTCAGATTTTGTGTGTGTGTGTGTGTTTTATCTTCAGTTTTAACTGGCCTTTGAATAAATTTGCTGGAAGGGTAACTTTAAGACATAAATGATGATTGAAATATTTTAATACTTGAAAACAATGTCCATTAGATTCTAATGACTATTGATGGTTAAAAAAAAAATTCAAGTCAACAACATTTGTAGAAATTAGGCCATCTATTTGCTCAAGCCAAAAAAATTAATCTCTCTCAGGAATGTTACTTCGTTTTAGATAAAATATGATTAGCAAGGGAATTAGATTAATCAAAATTTCTGATCACATACTTAAACATCTCTAAGGAGAACAAAGATATTTATAACATATTTTTTACTGACTTCACAATTAGAAATTATATAATTAGTGTTCCCATCTGTATCTTTTCATAAATAATAAAAGTTTAGAAGTAGATGTAAGTTAACAAAGGACTCACAATAGAAATACAGAAAATTGAATAATAATGACCTCTATGTGAGGGACTGAAAGTTTATTTACCTTGGCCAGATTTCTCCACCAAATCCATAATGCTGATGTCCTTTGCCCATGACTCTAGGAGGTTCACATTTCGGCCTGTGTTCCTCAGGGAGCGAAATGGGCATCATCCCTCCATATTCCCTTTCAGCGCCCCATGGAAGCCTACATCGTTGGAGTGACTGTCTTAATTTCTGATACCTGCATAAAAAGAGAGATTTTTGAAATATTAATGGCTTCAGAGTGGAATGCTATTGTCTGAATGTTTGTGTCCTTCCCGCACCCAAATTTATGTATTTAAATCCTAATGTCCAATGTGATGATATAAAAAGGTGGGATCTTCTGGAAGTGACTAGGTCAGGAGGAGCCGTCATGAGTGGGACTAATGCTCTTGTAAGAGAGATTCCAGAGAGCGTGTTAGCACTTCTACAATGCGGAAGTGAGCTAGAGTGAGAAGGACCTTGTTAGAAATACAAATTCTCAGGCTCTATCCAGATCCAGGAATCAGAATTGGGGGGTGTAGTGAGGTGCTGAGCCCTATAATCTGTTTTTCTTTAATTTATTTTTTAATTGGAGGACAATTGCTTTACCATGCTGCATTGGATTCTGCCACACAACAGTGTGAATCAGTCACAATTATGTATACATATATATCTCCCCTCCCTCCTGAGCTTCCCTCTCCTCTCCCCATCCCACCCCTTTAAGCTGTAATCTGTTTTAAACAAGCCCTCCAGATGATTCCTTTGCATCCTAAGCTTTAGAAGTACTGCCTTATTCAACAAATTACCTTCCATAGAAAATAGTTCTCCATTGTTCCACCCTTTACAACTATACCATTCTGTAGGTTGAAGACATGGAAATTTCCTAACTTGGCTGGTAGGGCTAAGTCTCATCTTAAAAACTGGTAGTTCAGGAGAAGGCAATGGCAACCCACTCCAGTATTCTTGCCCGGAGAATCCCATGGACAGAGGAGCCTGGTGGGCTACAGTCCACGAGGCCTCAAGAGTCAAGACAGAACTTAGTGACTAAACCCCCACCTAGACGGGTTAGCTGAGGACTGGAGCCACCTGGAAGCTAAGTGGGGGGGTTGGACGGGGGTGCAGAGTTCTGTCTGCGGGAGATAGTAGCCTTGGACTGACGGAGGCAGGGAGCTGCCAGAGACGCTGCTCAAGACGTTGTTCCTGACCGGAGAAAGAGCAAGTTCAGATGTAGGCTTAGAAAAACAGGTAACTTGACCAAAGGCAGCAGATCAAGCCAGCCCAACTGGTTCATGCATGTAGTTTAGTTAAATGAATCCGGATGGGAACAGAAATAGATGAAGGGACCACAGGGTGACTGGAGGAGTGGAGAGGGCCCAGCAGGGTCTGGCTGAGCTCACCCGAAGCCTCGGGAAGGAATCTGGGACCAGGTGGAGAAGGCCCGTAAAGGCAACTGGGAAGTAGTTTGGGGAGGTCTTGGAAGGCAATCTGACTTCTCTTCAGAAGGTGTTTTGAGCTGGTTGGGTTAGCAGCCAAAAGAAATGGGATTGAAAATGGAATTGGGGCCTCCATACCCTTAGTGTCAGCCCAGCAAATATTTCTTAGTTGCCACTGGCCTGAAGAAGCTATGTTGTAAACTCTTTCATTCCTTTGATTGTGTACTTTATACCTTTCTTTCCCCCCCAGCCCCCCGTTTCTTAATAAATGCTTTTGAAAAATGTGAAAAAAAAAACACAACTGGTAGTTCAGAGGACTTTCTTTGCTCTTTCTCAACAAGGGAGTGAAGGGCAAGGACACATATTCACTGTTGTAAAAATGCTTCATAGGAAGTACTCAATGGATGTCTGTGAAATGAATTGTATACCTGAGCGAATGAAAAAGGCCAAAGAGACTGATTTGTTTCCTGGACTGCTTCTTATGACACAATATGAAAACTTTAGGCTAGGGAGAAGCCCTCACAAAACTCTTAATCTGGCTAAAGACCTGCGTCCTAATTAGGAAGGATTTCATGTCTTCCAGTTTCCACTAACGGCAGTCAATTATTTAGACTAACCATCCCACTAAAAATACATTAAAATGCTGGAAAAAGAGCTTTGGGGTTGGTGACTATGTGGAGGTGGCGGTGGGGGGAGAGTGGGGCCCTCAGACTTCGTGGAAGTTCAGTGCCCCAATCCACATACCTTGCCCTCTGCACCTCTTCCACCTGACTGTTGTTAAGTTATATCCTCTTATAATAAAGCAGTAATCTGTCACCAAGAAATGAACAGCACAATGTTCTAGAGAACAAAGAACAATGATTCATCACAGTTTCCACAGTACAACAAAGAGGACAGGTCATTGCAGACAGATTCTGGCACACTCACCACGGAATGCCCAGGATATGGCACTGTGCCTTGCAAATATATGCTCAATAAATACTGACTAGGTGGTTTTCCTTGAGAGCAGACAGTGACATGATAATTTTAGAAAGGGGACCCATTGAACTTTGGGTCAAATTTTCTTGGAGAAGTTGAATTCTATTTTTATTTGACTGTTTTGATTTTCCTTGAGCAAACAACACAAAATGGACATTGCAGGGGGAGAAGCACAGAAATCAGCCAGGTGAAGAATCTAAAGGAAGCCATCTCTACTGTAAACTGGGACCCTAAAAGACTGCCCTCTCATGTTAAAGGTGAGTAAGGAAAAACCAGCTCTCTCATTTTCTCTTCAAGTTTGCACTTGCCCATGACTTGAACTTGAATTTAAGTGGTCAGAGATAGATAGCATACCCCCTATTCATATACATGCAAGACCAACAGGATCCCCTTCTGGAGGAAGGATTCTTGGGTGAATCATTGTCTAGGATGAGTTCTAAAGGATGAGTAGGACTTTTCTGGGTGCAAGAGAGGGAGGACCCTAAGCAGGGGCAGTATCATGGAAGAAGGCCTAGAGAGTTGAAAGGTGATGGAATTGAAAATTCCTGACAGTGTTGGCTCTAGAATCCTTGGGGAAGACTTGCTTGTTTGATCAAGTATTTTGTTAGGCCACTTGGAGAAGTGACAGAGACTCTGCAAGTACAGGTGTTGAGAAGGACTCAAGCAACCCAAGATTTATTAAGCTGCTCAGCAGTGGACGGGATTTGGTGTTTCACTCTTGAGAGAGGAAGATGAGGGGAAAGGGAAGTAGAGGGAGAGGAAGAAAAGAGGCCAGCAGGATGCTAAGGGATCACAGTGAGTGAAACGCCATTGGGGGAACTCTGATGGTAGCTGGGATAGAGAACTTTTAAATACAGAAGCTATGGCTTATAAGGGACTTTTAGTTATACATTATATGGTATGATGTGATTCTTCCTTCAGACCCTTACCTGATCAGTGAAATTTACCAGACTCACAAACGCTCTGTGTGGATGAGGTCTTTGGAGGAAACTAAAAAATGACTGTTTCACATCTGGGTCAAATTGTTGTTGAAAAGAAGCAGAATATGTGGAGCCGGGTACCCAAAGTCAGTTACGGTCATCTCCACCCCATCCTGGGAGTTTCGGTACATTTTGAGGAAGGCTTCGGGTTACCAGAATGTATGGAATAAAGATTTGAGTGGAACTTAGCTGAATCTTAAGGGCTGAGAAGACAGCTGAATTTTAGGCTATATCAGAAGAGCTGATACAGAATATTGAAATTTGAGGCACAGTAGAGAAGAGCTGCTTGAGAGGGGAGGCAAGCGAGGAAGACAAGGGTAACACCCTGCATGATCTCACGGGCCGTTTGGATGATACCTTCTGAGCAATGGGGACCCAGTTAGAAACACGGGAAGGGAACTCAGAGATAAGAGATGTGGACAGTAGAGCTTCTTTCTTCTCTGCACCCACGCACTGGTTTAGTGTCCACCTCCTGCACGAATCTGCTGAAAGAACTAACTCTTGGGACTGTCGTACAACGGAATATAGTATCTCAAAGTCACTAATAGGGGTTGGCAAACTATGACCCACAGGCCAAATCCAACCTACTGCTGTTTTTGGAAGTAAAATTTTATTGGAATACAGTCATGACCATTCATTTCTATACTGGCTATTGTCTATGACTGTTTTCCTGCTACAACAGCAGAGCTGAGTAGTTTGACAGAGACTGAAAGTGAAAAAAGTGAAAGTGTATCTGACTCTTTGCAACCCCATGGACTGTAGCCTGCCAGGCTCCTCTGTCCATGGAATTCTCTAGGCAAGCCAGGGTCTCCTGCATTGTAGGCAGATTCCTTACCATCTTAGCCACCAGAGAAGCCCTTGACAGAGACTATAGAGCCTTAAGTATTCACCATCTGGTCCTTTAAGGAAGAAGTCTGCCACCCCCTGCACCAGCTAGTCAGGGAGAATCTGGTGTCCACTGACTGGGGATACTGGAGAAGGGGTGCAGGTATTCCGTTCTCAGACCGCTGAGGTATGATCTATGACTGTAATCAACAGACACAGTGTGGGGGCATGACAAGTGAAAAATATTTAAATACATTTGATTAATGGCAACCTAAGCTTTAATATCTAAGTTTTTAAAAGTTACATTTAAATTAGATGAGTCAATTTCTCAGCATCTGACCCTCATATATTACACTAGCCTAGGAAGATGAGCCAGTAGAATATGTTAATCAATCATTTGGGTTGGCATTCATCTAAAACCAGTAAGTTGCAGGAAACCATTTAAAACAAAAGGCAAAGCACAAAGAAGTCATATTTCTCTTTCACTGTAGGGCCTCATATCCCTACCCCTTAGCTTTAATATTAACAGAATTTATAGAAGGAACTAATTAAATGAAATATTAAAGTTTCAGTATTAAATAATTTTATAGCTTAAATAATACATGTCGCCTAGGCAAATAACAATCAGTTATTAGTGCTGAAATCTGTAGCCACATAAAATTAATGTTTACTTGTTTAAGAGAAAGATATGTTTCCTGTAGATGAACCAATATCTTTCTTTGGAGTCACTTTACAGGATTTTGATTTGGGGGGCTGAATTTAGCCAATAATGATTGGAAGGCATGATTAAAGGAAAGGCTAGAACAAACATATGCTTATTTTTTGACGGCAAGCTAACAGTTAAAAACAAAACAACAAACAAACCTCCAAACCTCAGGAATCAGAAAGCAATGGGATGAACACAGAAATAAAATGGAACTTGTAATTAAATCTTAAGCAATTCTCAAGACACTTCCTTAATTGATGTTTATCTTCCTAATGGACTAGGAAGGAGATGTCAGCTGAATGGAAAAAGGAGGTAGGCATCTGTGGTTTTGAGTATCTGTACCTGCCACTGTTAAACTTTCAATGGAAAAAACACAAAAAAATGCCATTCACTTATTAATGCTTTTTAAGGAGATCAAGTAATTATACATAATAGTGACTAATATAATTGTCCCAAAACATACCAGTGAAGAAAGTAACTGATGTACAAAGATTAATTTGCCCTTGGTCACTGGGTAAACTAGACCATAATCCTGGTTTTCATGTTGTTTTCAGTGCTTTCTGCTAGCCCAGTGATTCTCAAAACAAGTTGAAAAATTACTAAAAATGCAGATCCCCTAGATCTAACCCAGACCCAGTGAGTCAGAGTGTCTACAGATAGAGCTTGAGTGTGGGCTAAGACACTTTAGTGGTGCCCAACTCCTTGAGACCCTTTGGGCTGGAGCTTGCTGGGCTCCTCTGTCCGTGAGATTCTCTGGACAAGACTACTGGAGTGAGTTGCTGGGTTGCCATTTCCTTCTCCAGGGGATCTTCCTGACTCAGGGATCAAACCCTTGTCTACTGTATCTCCTGCATTGCAGGTGGATTCTTTACCACTGAGCCACAGGGGAAGTCCAAAGACAGAGCTTGGGAATCTGTATTTTCAGAACACTTGTCATGTTATTTTGATGTGCCGAGTTACCAGACTAGTGGTGGGTAACAACTGAGTTAGACTGTGCTGCCTATTCTGGAAAGAAAAAAAAAATAGCTGGATGAGAGGAAACAATTTTTCATCTCTGTTTAAATTGCCGAATTAGTTCAAAATACATTATAATATTTAAAAAGCCATCCCTTTACGTACAGCCACACCTAGAAAATTAAGCTGCTGAGAGCTAATACATTATGAATTGTATTCATCCTTACCATTATGAACAGTAATCCCTAAAAGCCAGCAGATTTTTGTTCTTCATTGTTTTGTTGTGTTTTTGAGATACCTTGAGGTTTGAGTTGGGAGCCATATACCCTGAACCTGGTTTGGAAGAAGTAAGCCCCAGTGTGGATAGGGTAGAGTTACCAATGTTGCCCTGATGACATGTTCTAGAGAAGTTGAGGAATACTACTGAGAGAAAAGAGAACTTCTATTTCTGTAAGCCGCGCAGCCACTATTTAAAAGGGAGTTAAATGGGAGGGGGAGGTTCTGAGAATACATGATCATCCTGGTTTTCCCATTTGGGGACTAGGAAAGGAAAAACTTCACATGGAATAAAGTGAAAAGCAAATTTTACTTATTAGGAACTAGGAACATGGTTGAACCTAGATACTGCCTCAAATAATACCTTAATATATTTATAGGTAATTGAGTACATGCTGTGTTTAATTTTGTAGTCAGTTAAAGAAACTATACACAAAAAAATATTAATGACCCGGATAACCACGATGGTGTGATCGTTCACCTAAAGCCAGACATCTGGAGTGTGAAGTCAAGTGGGCCTTAGGAAGTATCACTACGAACAAAGCTAGTGGAGGTGATGGAATTCCAGCTGAGCTATTTCAAATCCTAAAAGATGATGCTGTGAAAGTGCTGCACTCAATATGCCAGAAAATTTGGAAAACAGCTATGGCCACAAGACTGGAAAAGGTCAGTTTTCATTCTAATCCCAAAGAAAGGCAATGCCAAAGAATGCTCAAACTANGAAATTAAAAGACGCTTGCTACTTGGAAGAAAAGCTATGACCAACCTAGACAGCATATTAAAAAGCAGAGACATTACTTTGTCAACAAAGGTCTGTCTAGTCAAAGCTATGGTTTTTCCAGTAGTCACATATGGATGTAAGCATTGGACCATCAGAAAGCTGAACATTGAAGAACTGATGCTTTTGAACTGTGGTGTTGGAGAAGACTTTTGAGAGTCCTGTGGACTGCAAGATCAAACCAGTCAATCCTAAAGGAAATCAACCCTGAATATTCATTGGAGGGACTGATGCTGAAGCTCCAATACTTTGGTCACCTGATGCAAAAAGCCTATGCATAAGAAAAAACCCTGATGCTGGCAAAGACTGAAGGCAGGAGGAGAAGGGGATGACAGAGGATGAGATGGTTGGTTGGCATCACCGACTCAATGGATATGAGTCTGAGCAAGCTCCAGGAGATCGTGAAGGACAGGGAAGCATGATGTGCTGTAGTCCATGGGGTCTCAGAGTCAGACATGAATGAGTGACTGAAACACAGCAATGAAAAGCAATATTTTCTCTGACGTTTCTCTTAGATTTCAAGTCTGTTTAAGGGTTTTGGAGCCAATTACTAACCAAACCATAGGACCATTTAGGTAGAGGGTATCAACAATTCAGTTAAATGCCTCTGTGAGTGCTTTTGAGGGCACAGTCAGTTCCATTAGATACGGCAACATTAAATACCCACTCAGATCCTTTTTGGCCAAATATAAAACCTCACACTGCTGCTTTTGATCCAGGGACCACTGCCTATCCCCATATCACACACGATCTGCTAAGGGTTTCCTCTGGCTCCAGGAAAGCCATGTCTGATCTTATGGTCCTTGGAGCTGAGCAGGAATTTAGGGCTCACAGCCACTTTTGGGAATCAGATAACAAAGAAGGTGCACCAAGGAATGAGTCTGTAGATGTGAACTGAACACATTTTCCCACAAATATGAACATATTTCTTTGCATTAAGTGAAAAACAGTAGTTTATAAAAAATATGTTGAATGGAATCTTCAAATTAAAAAAATGGAGGAGAAATATTGAGATATTAGCAATGGTTATAGTTTCTGGATAAAGGAAGTACAGACGGTTTCTTCCTGTGCTTTAATTTCATTTTTTCTTCCATTGGAAAAATGGAAAATTTATTTTCTTTTTAGATTTTCATGATTTCTAAGTTATTCATACAGAAATGTCAGGTTTTTTTTTTTCAGTTAAAATTTTTTTCTTTATATCTTTTTTCTTGTGTGTTAGTTTTTAATTAGGAGAAAAGGCTTTCTTTTTATTTTTTCACATAAAGAGTATGTTTACAAATTGGAATAGATCTGTGGAAGTCTGATCAAGACAGTGAAAGTCTTGACACAGAAAGAAAGAAGAGTAAAGTCTGTTGAAAACGAGTGTTCATCTGGCAAAAAGAACTCAGACAGTCAAAAGAATCTTCAAACTCTTGAGGGGTTGCTATCATAAAGATAACGTGTGTGCATGCTCAGTCATTTCTGTCATGTCTAACTCTTTTGACTACTTTCTTAAATGAGAAAGACTTCTTAGATGAGAGATTTGACAACATGAAATTATATAACAAACAAGCAAAAGCAAGAAAACAATTACACAGGTTATTTTTCACCCATGATTTTGAGTTTTTTTTTCTTTCCTAAAAATAATTCAAATAAATATTGATACAATACAGTAAAGCTGGCACTAATATCTCAGAAAATTACTTGTTTGTACCCTGTTCCTTCATATTAAATGGGGATGATAATAGTACTTATCTCATAGGGCTGTTGTAAGGATTAAAACAATTACCACATTAGTAAAACATTTGTTACAGTGCCAACACATAGTAATCACTCATATATGTTAGATGACATCTTAAACATAATCTGCAATGCATTACAGAAAATTTGGTAGAGCATAAATAAAGTCTGAATAACAGATTCTGAGAGTATTTTTGAGCAGATGGTGTTAGAGAATTATAAGGGCCCGCTATGCTACTCTTTGGCCTTCTCTGGTGGCTCAGATGGTAAAGAATCTGCCTGCAGTGCAGGAGACCCGGGTTCAATCCCTGGGTCAGGAAGATGCCCTGGAGAAGGGAATGGCAATCACTCCAGTATTTTTGCCTGGAGAATTCCATGGACAGAGGAGCTTGGCGAGCTACAGTCCATGGGGCTGTAAAGAGTTGGACATGACTGAGCAACTAACACACATACTACTCTTTATAAAGTTCTATTAAAACATTAATTCACAAGGCTTCCCTGGTGGTTCAGTGGTAAAGCATCTGCCTGCCAATTCAGGAGACACATGTTTAATCTCTGGTCCAGGAAGATCCCACATGCTGAGAAGCAACTAAGCCTGTTCGCCACAACTACTAAGCCTGTATTCTACAGAGTCCAAGAGCCACAACTGCTGAACCCTCACGCCCTAGAGCCGGTGCTCTGCAACAAAAGAAGCCCCTGCAATGAGAAGCCTCAGCATCGCAACTAGAGAGTAGCCCCCACTCTCCGCAATCAGAGAAAAGCCCACACATAATGAAGCCCTAGCACGCCAAAAACAAAGACACAAAATTAATTCAAAATGAAGGAACAGATCATTCTAGAGCTCTAGAATGCAGTAGATGAATTTGATGTTTGCCTTTTAAAAATATACACTGCCTTTTTACTTCTTTCCAAGTTACTAACAGATATGGACACTTCAAAGTTTAGTTCATTGTCATATTATGCCTTCCCAGTGATGTGATACACAGAAGAGGTCCATAACCTTAAATGCTTTTTCTCACAAAACAAAACCACAGTAATATATTAAAACCTTTTATAATTGTTTGCATTCTCCAGTCTTTTTTTACCTGTCCTCTGAGGCAGTTGGGCGAGTAGCTGTTTGTAGTGGAGTGTGCAATTCATTAGAGTAAAAGGTCTCTGACAGTATGTCAGCTCCTTCAAGCTCCCTGCAGCAGCAGGGCTGGCCATGAATTACCTCCATGCTTCTTGGCTAAAAGGGCACAACCTGGAAAAAGAAAAGGAGGGCGCACTTGTTTAAAGAGTCACTGACTTAGTTGCTGTCACACTGACCCTCCCTCAGGGCAGGCAGGAAACTGACTTAGTACTGCTCAGTAGTTCAACCGAAGTCTGCTTAGAAATCATGGGCTCCTATCCTTGGGGTGAGCCCTATCTGTGGACCCTCGGGTGTCCTTTCAGGAACAGATAGCACTTAAGTTCTATGGAAAGGAATTTCAACTGAAACAAATCCACAAAGTGGAAGAGGTTCTAAAGTAGAGTGTGTGNCCGACTTTTTTTTTTTTTTTTTTTTTTTAAAGCAGGGAGACTCAGCATCCAACAGAATTAACACCTGTGCTTCTAGGGTCTTCAGGGATTCTAGTCGAGAGGTTCTTTGCAGAGGTGGAGAATCAGGCGTGCAGCACAAGTGAGACCCCAAAGTGAGAATTCCACCCCTCCTTGGGACTTGAGGGAAGCATAAGATGCGCCTTGGCCAGGACCGGCCTAAGCCTAGCCTCCAGGGACATTAACGCCCTGCCGATCGGCGCCTCGGGGTTCCGACGCACCTTGGGACATCAGCCTGGAATCCTTAGGCGGCAGAGCCTTCCTTTCCCCTCCCTAGAGCTGGCGGGCCTCTGCGGGGCGTGGAATTCCGCCGTCGTCCGCACCTGCGGCCCGGGGGAGCTTGAGTGCAGGTGCGGGTGAAGGAGAGAGAGGGCCGGCGGGCAGGCCAGGCGTGGGGTTGAGGGTGCCTGTGACGGCGACTGTGACCGTGGCAATAGGTAATGCATGCTTGCCGGGCGGCGGGCTTCGGGGAGGAGAGCAGGGGCTGCGGTGGGCTCTTAGAAGTTTCGGAAGAAGCCAGCCCACGAACTCTTGGAACCCGTAAGAATTGGAAGCCGGAAGGAAGGTGGGGAATGAGGGCTAGACTCCCAGTCCACGCGCGAAAGGAGCTCTTCCGGCTCCCCAGTCCGTCGTCCCCGCCCCTTTATCCGCCCCTCCCTTCGCTCCTGGCCCCGCCCCCTGGCGCCCCGTGGCGCCCCCTGCAGGCCGTATCACATGCTCCTTCGAGGACTGCTTGGTCCCGGCGGCTCCCGGCCCTGGGGCCCGCGCGTTCTCTGCTGGGTTTTGGGGCGGTGGAGGAGTGCGGTGCCAGGGAGACTCTGACGAGGTGGGAGCCTCCAACACATCCGTGTTCCTTACCCTCAATGGGGAACAGTGCGGCCTTATCGAGGGTGGCCTCCGCAGGACTCAGCACGTGCAGCCCCTACATTATGCCAGGCCGAGGCGCTTCCTACCCTAGGTGGGTGCGGACAGGGCAAACAGGCAGTGTGCCTGCGGTGGTCTACCCGATCAGCAGAGACCCCGCTTCCATGACCTTTGTTACCACCCCCCTCTCCCCGAAGAAACGAATGTGAACCACGATTCTGCACCTACGGGACCACGAGCTTCTGTGATGGCTGAGGACAGGACCCCTGATGTGGGAAGGTTGGTTACTTTTGCGGGGAGAGGCTGGAACTGAGCCTGCAGGAACACGGGGGAAGGTGGGGGCAAGAACGACCACCTTTCAGAAGGGCGGTATAACAGAGCTGTTCTCTGCCTGTTTCCCAACTTTTAAATCAAGCCACTAGTGGGTATTCATTTTGTGCTGTGCCTTCCAGGTGAGTGTTCGCTGACGTGAGGGAAGGAAAGCTGCGTTAGAGTAGACCAGGGGGTAATTTTGTATTCCTGGTCTGTTTCTTTGTCCTTGCAGCTCTCTCAGAGTCCAGTAGTTACCAGCCACTAAACCAGGAAGTGTAGATTTTTCAGGAGGCAGAGTTGTGAATTAGGTGAAGTTTGACTTTCTTTTTGACCCCGTTAACATTTTTTTACCCAAAAAATTTCTCGTAGAAGTTCACCTCAGCCTTTTGGCTGCTTTGTGTGTGCAGGATACTCATGACATTATCTTGTCAGCCTAGCCTATTTTATGTGCCTGGCCTCCCAGGACTTTACATACTTCACCTTTGTCTACATTTTCTCATGGCTTGATTCTTCCTGGGAGGTAATAACTGAGTGTCATAAATCAGTGACATCTGATGAAGCTGTGTCACTAGCCACATGTTAGTATGTAATGGGTGTTTGTGATACCAGGAGAGTTGAGGAAACTATAAGTTGATTGACTAGGATATGTGGTGATAGCTTCCTGGTGGGTTTGAAATTTTATTTTGGTCAAATGACTGTTGTTGTTTAGTCGCTCAGTTGTGTTGAACTCTTTGCGACCCCACGGACTGTAGCCTGCCAGGCTCCTCTTTCCAGGGATTGTCCAGGCAAGAATACTGGAGTGAGTTGCCCTGCCCTCCTCCAGGGGATATTCCCAACCCAGAGACCTAACTCATTGGCAAGTAGGTTCTTTACCACTAGCGCCACCTGGGAAGCCAGAGTATAAAGGTTAGGAAAATTTAATTATTTTTGCCTTTGTTATTTTCAAGTAAAATTTACAGGCAAGAATAAGTTTTTTGCCAGATCTTTTAAAAAACAATTGTTTTCTTTGGAAATGTTTTTACATCTGCAAGATTCTAAAGGATGTCAGGATTGGGTCTATTATTTGACCAACACTCCTTAATCTAGGCTTTTATGATTTAATTCACACCATCTCAGCCATCTGGTGATATGTATGTGACCCCCAATGACACATGGCATAGTTGTTGTTTAGTCGCTAAGTCGTGACCGACTCTTTTGCAACCGCATGGACTGTAGCCCACCAGGATCCTCTGTCCATGGAATCTCTTGGGCCAAGAGTAGTGGAGTGGGTTGCCATTTCCTTCTCCAGGGGATCTTCCCAACCCAGAGATGGAACCCAGGTCTCCTGCATTGCAGACGGATTCTTTACCATCTGAGCCATGAGGGAAGCCCCTTTATTTCCCTAGAGTGGGCCAAAGATATTTATTACAATAAGAAAAAAAGTCCTGGATCAAGTTCTGTGTGGATTTTCCCTATAGACTGGAGTGGGTTGCCATTTCCTTCTCCAGGAGATCTTCCTGACCCAGGGATCGAACCTACATCCCCTGCATCGCAAGCAGTTTCTTTACTGCTGAGCCAGCAGTAGCCTCCTATATAGATGTGTGCAACATGACTGAGCCAACCCCGCTTTGGCCTGCCATATTGACTTCTCTTTCACTACCTCATTTCCCTTAGTGTATTTTGTTTACCTTTTGTATCACTCGTAATTCTTCCAGTAGGGAAGGTGAACTTTGAAATGAAAAAAAAAAAAGTATGCATAGAATATTGCATCTGAGTTGACAAAAATTCCAAACTACAAAAACTAGACCTTTAACTGTCAAGAAAAGAATATGCAGGAAATATATAATAATGTAAAGCATGGATTATATTCTATAATCTTTTTAAAGGATGTTATAGAGACTTTTAACCCAGTGGCATTTGATAATGAATAAAACTTTAAGAGACTTTGTACTCCTTGGCAGATATGAATATTTTTATTTTGATCTTTTTTCCACTTTTATTAATATAATTGACATATAGCACTGTATAAATTGAGGTTTCCTTGATGGTTCACAGGGTAAGGAATCTGTCTGCAGTGGAGGAGATGTGGGTTCAATCCCTGTATCAGGAAGATCCTTTGGAGAAGGGAACGGCAACCCACTTCAAAATTCTTGCCTGGGAAATCCCATGGACAGAGGAGCCTGGTAGGCTACAGTCCATGGGGTTGCAAAGAATTGGACATGACTGAGCAACTAATACTAACTGTATAAATTGGGAATCCATGGTGGCTCAGTGGTAAACAATCTGCCCACCAATGCAGGAGACTTGGGTTCAGTTATGGGTTGGGAAGAGCCTGTAGAGAAGGAAATGGCAACGTATTCCATTATTTTTGCCTGGGAAATCCTGGCAAAAAGGATTGCCAGGAGAGGAGCCTGGTGGGCTACAGTCCATAGGATCACAAGAGTTGGACATGACTTAATGTCCACTACCACTGTATAAATTTAAGGTGTACAGCATAATGACATGACATATGTTTTATGAAAATGAGGGACTTCCCTGGTGGTCCAGAGGCTAAGACTTCAAGCTTCCAATGCAGGGCACCTGGGTTTGACCCCTGGTTTGGGAACTAGATCTTGCATGTTGCAACTAAGACCGGCACAGCCAGATATTCAATTAGTAAAGATAATAGATAAATACTTTAAAAAAAGAAAATGAATAAAGGAAAGCCTCATTCAAAATGGAGTTGGGAAGACCTAAGGGGGAGCTTTCATACACATACCACTCATCACAGTTTACACACTCCAGCCAGAAGAAGTTTAGTTTACAGCAGGAAGAAGGAAGATTTTCTTCTTGCCTGGAAATAATCCAGCCAATGAGAAACTGTTACAACCCTGAAATCGCCTCCAGTGAACTTTTAAACAAACAGCCCCTTCCACCTTCCACTTATCCATTATTCTTCTATAAAAGAATACTCCTTCTTTTGGTCTCCAAACTATGGGATCACTGGTGGCTCAGACGGTAAAGAGTCTGCCTGCAATGGGTCAGGAAGATCCCTTGGAGAAGGAAATGGCAACCCACTCCAGTATTCTTGCCTGGAAAATTCCATGAACAGAGGAGCCTGGTGGGCTACAGCCCATGGGGTCACAGAGTTTAACACGACTGAGCAATTTCACTTTTCACCTTTGGTCTTCACCTATGGTTTGCCGTAGTTTCTGTGGTGCAAAAGGCAATTCATGTGGTATTCTCAAATAAATTGGATTTTGCTGGCTAACCTGTTACCATTTTCTTTTAAAGGTTCACATTACTTGGTGTCAGAAGGGGTATTCGAAGGAGTTGATCCCTAAAGAACTAACGATCCTGGGAATCATGCCTGGTACCCCGTTGATCCCCTTGTGTTCTCTGCTCTTCTGGTCTGGTAAGTCTCCTCTCAGATTCAAGCTCCTTCCTTTTGATTGAGTGCTCTCCAACTTTTTAGGGGGTTCTGTTTTTGTTTTCGTGATGCTATTGCCCTCTGTGTGAGCACTCATTTGTTTTCTGAACCTCTGGTTTTGACGTATGGGATCCCAGTTCTCTAAATTTTCTCAGGAGAATCCTCCTTCTGGGACCATGGCTTACTTTGTGTTCAAAAACGGCATATTTTCAACTAAATGGACCAACTTAATTAAAAATAGTTTAGAACTCCAGTGGTCACTATAGGGAACTTTCAACCTCTTCATTACTGATAACTGTACATGTGTTAAACCATTGCTCTGTGGATAAAATAATAATGTTTATGAATCAATACTGGTGAGGAAGTATTAATAAGGCCTCACAAAGTGCCTACTTTGCTTGTCCCAAACCTGTTCAAAATATATTCCTGGGAAACTGTCTGCACTGCCCCTGAATACTTTATTATTAAAAAATTTTAATATTAAAACATTTTTAATTTTCTATTGATATAGTTGATTTACAGTATTGTGTTAGTTTCAGGTGTAGAGCAAAGTGATTCAGTTAACATATACGTGTATCTATTCTTTCTCAGATTCTTTTTTCTGAACATGTATGAAATGATATTTATTATATGAAATTGGCTTAAGCAATATGGTGGCTATTAAGTGCAAATCTGCTGCCCTTTGTGAACAAGCCTGATAAACACTCCAGCCACCCCTCAATCACTTAAAATTGCTCAACTGACCATTCAAATTTTTGGCAAATAAATTTTATAGAATTCCCCCTGTCTCATGGATATATAATAAATGTATTTTCATCAGATATTTATAATGTCTATTTTTGTTATATTTTATATTGGACTCTTAATTCAGTGATACAATAAAGGAAGGGTATGAGGAAATACACTCTCCTATTTTTTCAAGGGAGTACAAATTGGTATGATAGAAAAGGAAGGCAATTTACCAGCATCTGTTAAAATTATAACTGTAGAGTGGACACAGCTGAAGCGACTGAGCATGCACGCATAGTATTTTGGCCTAGGAACCCCTCTTCTAGGAATTTTCCTACATGCATGCACACATAGGTTTTGAAAACATGCATAATAGGTATCTAATGCACACAGAGATTATTCAGTGTAACACTGTGCATAACAGGAAAAGATTTGACATAATTGTTCACCACATAAATTGTTATTTCCATGCAATGGGATACCAGGCAGCTATTAAAAAGAATGATGACATGTTTTATGTATTGTCTAGTAACAACCTCTGAGATATATTTTAATGGAAAAAAGTCAAAGTATTGAAGAGTTGTGGAGTATGTGCTATTTTGTGTAGCAAATGAAATTGTATGTTTTCTTATAAATTATGTGTATACATGTGTGTGTGTGTCTGTATATATATATATGTATATAGTTAATATTAAGTCGCTCAGTCGTGTCCGACTCTTTGCAACCCCATGGAGCCCATCAGGCTCCTCCGTCCATGGGATTTTCTAGGCAAGAATACTGGAGTGAATTGCCATTTCCTTCTCCAGGGGATCTTCCCAACCCAGGGATCAAACCCAGGTCTCCCGCATTGTAGGCAGATGCTTTAACCTCTGAGCCACCAGGGAAGTGTGTATATATGTATAAGCATTTCTTATATATGCATACTATTCCTAGAAATATGCACAAAAACCTGGCCACATTAGTTGCCTTTGAGAAGGGGAACTAATAACTGGACCTCAGTGGTGGGAGGGAGGTATTTGACCATATTTCTTTTTTGCACTTTTGGAATTTGAACCATAGTACCTATTTGTTGCAGATTGCATTTTCTGGAAGCAGATGCTGAGATGGAGTTTGGGGTCTAAGCTGTTTATTAAAAATCAACACCTGTGGAAGGAAGAAAAGGAAGCAAGATTGGGTAGAGGGACAAGTCCATCAGTGACATGAGCCTGACAAAACCTTGGCAAGCCTTCCATGGAGCTCTGGAGCACATGGCATCTCAGAGCAGCCCTAGGTTGGATGGGAAAAATTGTTTTCACCCCTGACTCAGTCAGGCATTAACTGCTTCTGATTTGGCAAGGGTATTATGGTGGGGCCAGATAGCTAGCTCTTTGCAGCTGAGTCAGCCCCCGTCAGAGTTGACAGCTTGAGCGGGGATCTCATTCTGAAGGGAGAGCTAGGTAGTGTGTCTCAGCAATGACACTATATTTCCTACCCCTATGCTTTGTGAGAATTTGAATGGATATAAAATCCCAACGTGTGAAGGAGGAAGTCATTTTCAGATGAATAAGTCTTCAAACAATATGCCTTCCAGGCACCTCTTTCTACCTGTTTAAGTCAATGATTCCCCCCCACCCCCACCCCGCCTTTGCATTCTAAGTCAATTTTAACTGATGCAAGTAGTATTCTCATGTTTTGTTTAGAAATTTGAATCCGTATAGAAAAATTTCTAAACATATTGAAATTAATTGCTTCTGGGGAATAGAAATTGGGGGTGGATGTGGTTGGGGTTTGGGACGTTAGTTTTTCATCCAACTGGGACAGTTTGGAGAGTTTAAAAGGGAGGGCTATTAATACTTACACTGGGGTAACAGGCATAAATCTGAACCGTCCCTGGGAAACTGGAAGTTTTTGCAGTCACCCTAACTAAAACCCTTGCAGCATTCTTTTGACTTTTAAAACTTGTGCAGATATCTCTTTGCTAAACATAAAATAAATCTTAAAAGAAGATTGATAAGGTTTTGGAAGTTAATTAGTACAACTTCACACAAGCAGAAGTGACATCTGTGGCATTCCTTTTTGATATCTCTATTTGATGTATAACCATCCAGTCTCTGCTTAAACACCTTTCCATGACTCATGTGAGTCAGATCTATTACTGGGTTAGAAACTTTTTAAAAAACTGCCAGCTTGTAACTTTATACCAGTAGTCATAGCACAGAAGCCGTTCCCTCTGACTAGCCCTGGTTTTACATGTGCATTGCTTTCGTTAGTCCAAGAGAAGTGACACCTCTCGCGGTCCCTCCTTAGCTTTTCTACACCACTGTGCTGTGTTTATTGGTATTAGAGTAAACAGTGCCCGCAGACTTGAAAGGTGGGGACAGCAGGTTTGCTTAGGCTAAGAAACAAGACTGCAGAAATGATTTAGTGTCTTGGGTAAGGTCAGCAATAACCCTACAAGGTAAAAGCCTTGTCAGGTTTGATTGGCAAGTGAAAGGCTCATGCATCAGAGAAGTTGCTGACTCCAGTGATATAACCCCTGGCTTCATCCCTGTTCTCTTCTTCTGTCAGCCTGCCACCATTTCCCTCTCTCTGTCCTGTGATGTAAGACATGACCAGAATTGGCAGAGAGAGAAGGCAGAGGGGGCACTTGTTAAAATGTTACCCAGACAGATTGAAATCCAAATGCCTTAATTCACCATGATATGTTTTGATTAATGAGAGTGAGAAAGTGAAGAGGTTGTGATTTCTAATCAAAGAAAGTAATGCTTTAGTTACTGAAATGCAAATGCCTTAATTGGGAGGGACAAAAATTAATAGAAATAATTAACAAAAGTTAATGAGGTCAAAAAGATATATTAAGAGGAAATGTAACGCATCTTTGTCACAATTAGAGCTACATTTGGTTTGTGGTAAAAGAAAGTACATAAAGAAATTAAAGAGTCACATGTAAATATTTTAGCATTTGATCAATTTATGACTTCAGTTACTATTTTAATTTTATGATAAACAACCTTTCCATTCCATTGTAGATGTTTTAATGTAGAAAGAATCTTGCTGATTCTTAATGGGTACTGCCTGTTTTGTTTAAGTATTCTGACTTTCCTTAAAGATGTACTGATTCCTTAATGCTAATAACCCTTAACTCACAGCTAGACTCAGGCTGTAAAAATGTTTACTTTTGTCTACTATAAACTGTTGAATTGAGGTGGTTGTGCATTAGTTTAAAATTTTAGTTGTTAACTGAGTCTTAAGTGTGCAATATATTGTACAATATAAAGCAAGAGGATCTTAAAGACTTTCTGTTGTGATGCGGTAGTGATTATTGTTTTTGGTCTAAGATTTTAAAATCAGTTACGTACAAATGTGGAACATTTTCTGCCCTCTAGTGGTTAAAAGTAACTTTGCAATATCAGTTACAATTCAGTGCTTTAAATTACAAGGGAAAAGCTGTGTGACATTTTAAAAGCAGGTTGAAAATTATGTAGGTATATTGCCATAGCTAATTAGTATTGCTGCATATTTTAAGAAAGTGAAACAATAGTTTTATGTCTTATTAATCACAGTATACTAATGCCTGGAAATCTGGCAAGAGGTAAAATAAATTTTGAGATAATTTTTCTTCAGGATTAAAATAATATTTCTCTATCTCTACAAAGAGAGTATTAATTCCACATTAATCTTATTAATGTATTACTCCACTCCTCATTCTAATAGTGATTTTCCAGTTCAACTCCTTTCATACTTTAGTTCCTACATTTGCAAAGAGAATAACGGGAGATAATACTTCTCATTTCCTAACCTACACATAGGATGGTACATATTGCCTTTGTGTTTTGTTCTAAGAGGAAAATTTCATGATATAGGAAAAACAAAAATGGGCTATTAGAAAGAATGTGATAGTGCCCTGAAGTTCAAAGAGAAGTGCTATAACGTAGTATGTGTATGACTGTTGTCCATTATCCATTTCCCAGGGAAATTAAACTAATCAAATGTTTCATCTTCATTACTGTTCTGAAATGTGTTCTCACATCTGACTGATAACAGAAGCTTTTGCTGTCCCAGATATTTCTAAAGAAGCACTAACTTCTGCCCCAGGTGAATACAAAGCCATATAAACTAGTGAGATGATAAAATAGCTTGGGAGGAAAAAAGATTAGCAACAATTACTTCCTTTCAAAATAAGCTTCCAGGGAATAAAGGAAAAATTTAATGTTCTGGTGAAAAATCTAATATTCCTAAATAAGCTTGTCAGAATCAGAGCATCTCTAAAAAGCGTCAACCTTATTGTTGTCAGAGGCATTTTTTTCTGGTAGGCAACATAATGTTAAAGCTTTGAGTATGGTTATCTAAATATTAATAGTGTGATATAATTAGAGAATAGTACTAGACCTTGTAAAAAGGCAAGTGAAATGGACTTAATGCCACTGAACTGTACACTTAAAAACAGTTAAAACGGTAAATATTATGTTATGTATATTTTACCACAGCAAAATAGAATACATAAAAAAGGCAAATGAAATCTCCCTGATTGTTTTCATACTTCTAACAGCAAATAAAATGTACAACATCTAATAAATGTTTTAGGAATTCAAGGCCACTTAATAAGTAGTAAGGTAAAATAAACATTGGGTATTATGTTCACCAGATAATATTTTCCTAATTCAATTTGGCTCCAAGCAGCAAAGTGATATTTTCTACAGGGCTTTTAGTAACAGACATTAATCTGGGAAAGGCTGCAATAGTCCAGTACTCCCACAATTCATGTTGGTGGACTGGGACAGGCTTACTTTGGATTTTCTTTGATTCCTTTATTGCTTTGTCTCACTTCATTAATGGGGTTGGTAAGAGACTGAAAATAACCCAGGGAGAGGCATACTTACTGATACCTTTCCCAACTCCACTGGCCAGTTACTGCGTATGTCAAAGCCTCTCTTGACCAGTTCGGTTCTCCCACTGAAGTAGAAACTGATAGTTGGTGAAATTAATAATTGATGATAGTTGAGTTTCATCACCAACTATAGCACTTTCTCTGCTATAGAGAAAAAAATCATTAGTTGCTTCTTCAGAGTCTAAGTTAAAAATGGTAGAGCATTTCTTCTGTGATGTTTTAAATCTTTATGGTCATTCATTACTAAGGTGGACACTTCCTTACTTGCTCTTGAGGTAAATACCTTAACAAATGGCTAGGTTAAAGCTGTCCAGGCATCTAGGTCTTTTCCCCCCCTCTTTCTTCCTCCTTTCCTTCTTCCTTCCTTCTTTCTAAAAATCTGTATATAATGTTTAAAGCATTGAGGCTTTCTTCCTGGACTCCAGTGTGCTCATGTTTTCTTTTGCGAGCTTCATTCAACAACTGTTTCCTGACTACTCACTACGTTTTGGGGGCTGGATGGGAGGTGATTGACGGGGTGGCGGACAGGACAGTGGATGAAGGAGGAAACGCACAAACTTTGAAATGAAACAGACCTTGGTCGAGGCCATCTGTTAGCTCTCATTTCTTCAGAATGTTCTTTGTGAGCTCAGCTCTCATGTGTAAAAATGAACATAACGAGAATGCTTAAAACAGTATTAAATTTAAAACAGACAGTTATAGCGATCAATAGTCACTATTATTATTAAGCTGGGAATGGGATACAAAGAAGAACCAGCTAGTGCAGTGGTTCCCAATTAAGGATGATTTTGCCTCCAAGAGAACATATGGCACTATCTGGAGATGTTTTTAGTTGTCTTATTTATCAGGTGGTGCTCCTGGCATCTAGTGGGTAGAGGCTACTGGTCTTGATAAACATCCTATGATACACAGGGCAGATCCCACAGCAAAGAATTATCCAGCCCACAATGTCAACAGTGTTGATCTTGGTTGAGTAAAGGAAAAACATTAAAATAGGCTATATATTTCATGTAATATAAATATATATTTATGTAATATATATTTCATGAATAGGCTGCTCAGCCTGTGATTGGAATGATGAGTCCTTGATGACCATGGAATTCCCACACCAGCCTGGAACTGCTTCCTTCCAGACATTGTTATATGTGTGTGTGTGTGGGGGGGAACTCTCTCTTGGAAAAAGTGTGTTGTTTAGTTTTTCTATTATATACAGCTGCATCCAAATTTGACCAGGGTTGGGCCTTGAAGGATTTTTATAAGTATTAAAGGGGCCTTTGAGCTGAAGGAATGAGCACAAGTGAAGGCACAGAAATGTGCAATTTTTGTGAACATGCATATTTCTAGGGAATCACATGTAGTTTGATATGCTTATGAAATAACATGATAAGTTACATTGGAGGAGTGTAGAGTGATGTTTGCAGGAAGGTCTTTAGAGAAGACAAAATGAAAGAGAAGAGGCTGGCACTCTTCCCTTTCTTGGCCATTTCATTTTGTTGATCACAACTAGATGAACACTGACCTTTCATTTTTCTCACTGAGAAATTGGTCCCAGAGTCAGTACTTTATTTCCTTTTTCTGTTTCTCAAGGTCGTTGTCCTAGTATGATGTATGAAATGTGGACCTGAGATCTCATGGAAGTTGCCTTCCTTGAAAATCATTGACATATACCATGCGTCATCCCCACCTTTCCCCGGCAAACCTCCACTCCCCTTGCCTTTACAGGCTGGCT